TTGCTTGAAATATAAAAGAGAAACAGATAATAAACTGTCTTACCTTATTTAACAAGTTAGCCTTTAATTATAGTAAATTTCAAATACTGATAATATAAACACTATTGTATCATTATATTGCATATTTGATATTTAATGTCCCAGATCAGTATATAATTTTTATACTTTGAATTTTAAAGTTAGTTGATGACTCAGTCAGATCGCACTGATCATTATTAATGGTATTTCTCTGTGTTCAAAACCCTATTAAACGCTAATCCTAATGCTAAATATCTTTAAATGGACTTGTCCATTTTTCAAACAGGAGAAAACCACATTAATCATTTTTAGAGAAAATATCAAAATAAATACTGACTGCATGAATAGCAAACAGTAACATACAATAAATAATGATCTGACATGATTCCTGCTGCTGCAGCCACCAACAACCTTAAGGGTTTTAAAAGGTGTCTAACATATTTCCTTGTAACCCTGCTGAAACTTGAATTGGAACATTCCATAATAGCATTTTCAGGTATTATTTTCCAATATGTCTCTTTCATAACTTTGTGTTCAAAAGTAGAGATTATATAAAATAAAAGATGTTGTATAATATTAAATTATATTCTAAAATGTCAAACCCTAGGTGTCCACATGTTCAATTAGCAAATATCTGTGATGTAAGAACAAAACTTAAAAGATACGTCAATGTATTTAGCGAGGACAAAAACAGTTACATAAATACATGTATCTGGTAAAAGTGATATCTCCGAAGCATTAAAAAACAGACATAAAAACATTTTCCTAGTTCAAAAATATAACTTTTTACCTTTTTTATTTGATGTATAATATTTACTCAGAGTATTATAAATTTTAAAGTGTGACAATTAATGTAAAATGAATTTATACAGGGAAGTATCTTGAACAATTTATTATATCCAATAATTTGGTGAAAATATAATATTGAAGGGCAGGCTTAAAATAGTTGCAGCCCAGGTATGCACGGTGTGGTTTAATTATAGGTACTGGTAGTGTTTAACTGTCATGCATATTTTGTCACCTTAGTGCAGTAATGGATTAACTCCTATCAAATTTAACAGGACTTAACCCATTACTGCACTATGTTGATAATTAATATGAGAGCAGTTTCATGTTTAACTCCCAGGATCATGCCATATATGTAATAACCATGAACAAAAATAACAACAAGCAAATATCCCAGTTGAATATTAATTTTGTCAGCCATAAATCACTTGATGGAAGCATCTTTAGTGTTATTTAGCTAAGAACATTCTCATGATACAAAGCCCAACAAATTGTCACCTTAGACTGGCAAGGACATGTATAAATGATTTTAAGCCACTTTCAGAATCACGCCTATTTTAAAACATTAATAAGGGTCAGGAGGTAGTTCAACACAAAACTTAAAATTATACAAGAAATAAAATAGTAGCCACTTTAATCATTAACAAATTTACCATTAAAACACATCTCTTAACTGTCTTAATAAATACTGAGTATATTTAAACTTTGTCTTAAAATATAGGACAATTAAAAGTTTTAGCTATATTACAGATTTATATATGTAATATATTTATCCATGGCTATATTTAAGACTTTCTTACATAACTTAAGGGACCAAATTTTAGTGTTATCTTAAATATAGGGCACGAAAGTCTTAATATAGACATTTTATAATATGATAATGACTGAATTCATGCGAGGAAATGTTCATTCATGCAGTAAATTCAACTGTTCTAGCACAGTAAATATGTGTATGTTAAAACTAAAAATGTTTACTAAAAATGTAACTCAAATAATGCATGTATACAAGTGCCTTACATTCAAATGAAATAAATCATAATTTATACACATTTACCTTGTTATAAAACTGCTAAATTCCAAAAATAGCACACAAAGATAATCTGTATTTTATATCAGCTAATAAAACTAAACATTTCTTCACTCCTTATGTACAAACTAACCATGTAAAATATCCCTATAAAATATCCGATGAGAGAATGTTTTATATAAGGCAGTGGCAAGTCAGATACACAACTGAAAATTCCGACGTCACACATTGATGACTGGTTTAAATGGAAAAGATAAACACCACCCTTTTCATTGAGTAAAAGTTTAAGGTGAAATATAATTTACTATTTAATTTGTAAAGGCTTTTAAAATGTATACTTATGTGCCGTTTTGTAAACTTAACAATGATTCTTACAGGTCAATTGTCAAAAGTTGAAAATTATTAATTATAAATAAGATCAGATAATATTGAAGTTATAAAATATTTCTACCTGGCCATACATTATTATATAATAATGAAATAAGATTATGGAATTAATACACAAGAGAAAGTAAAATCTTTTGTTTACTATTATCCACCTACTGTTATTCAGATAAAGCCCTACCTTATAAAGTTGTGTAATTATCTTTTTAAGGGTGTTACCTCATTTAAGATTGAGAATCTGTGACATATTAACAATATTGCTTTAAATTAAATTGAATTGATTAAAGATTAATACAGTATAAACATGAAAGTTGTAGAGATGGAATTTTTGGTGCATTTAAAGCAGCGTGCCTCATTGTGTGTTTCATGCTAATTCTAATGAAATTTTGAAAATGACTATTTTGAAGAAAAATTCTTTTTAAAAAAGATCTTTGAAACTGAATCTTTGATTGTGATAATGCATACGAGGGAAGATCAAAAGTAAACCGGACTGTGACTGTCAATTGCAGAATGTCCAACTTATCACTTATTGTTATACATGTATATTACACTTAATCGGAAAACAATACCTGTAAACTGATGCTATATCTAATCTGATAACGCAAATAGCTTGTCCGTAACAGTGAATTCAAAAACCATGGTAACGCACACCCGGCGCAGTGCGCAAATAAGCCTTGACATCAGGTGCTTTATGGTCACATCATGGTCTAAGTGCTGAGTATGACCATGTAATAACATGGTCGTTCTGCATATCAGTAAGCTATCATGAAAAACCATGGTAATTACCATGTAACAAAATTACAGACCATGGTAAAAAGCATTATACTCACAGTAAATGACCATGAAATACCATGGTGTGCTATAAACATAATTTTTATGTCAATAAATACCTATATAAATTAAATACAAAATATGAAACACTTTTTTTCTTCTCAAAAGGGATATGCGAGTTACAATTAGTCTCCATAAAACCATCTTATTCCTATCGGCATGGTCAATTTTTGGTCATGAGGGCTATTTGATTTAAAAGCTATTGATATTGATCATTTATGAGTTTTGTTTATAATAATTTTATGTGAAATCAAGTGAAGCCAGAGGCATGGTAATTATAAGAGCTTTTAATACCAATGGTCCATTTGTTTATAATGCAGCCATTAAAATGCTGTGAGGTCTATGTTTTTATAATGCTCAAGATACTTATTTCAAAATATTTTTTCGTTCAATGCCACCAATAAAATATTAAGTACATATTAATTCAACTCTAACCACTATCTATTGTCCCCTCTTTATTTCTGTGAAATTATGATCAGTGTATTTATTTATTACCTCCCTTGCTGCTGTAAAAACTGTCAGTTGGTCAAAAGATGGCCGCAATTTTAAAGACCAGGTGACTTTATTTTCAAGGTTTTTAAGTAAGTCTAACAACTGTTACACGAATTTGATTTGGGTTTGTGTACATCTTGACATGAGGTTCATTTTGTACAAAATGCATGTAATTACTTCTGGGGTTGGAAAATTATCTTGTCAGATTGAAAACGGTCAAAAGAAGATTAATGTCTAACAACCCTGTAATTTTTAAAATACCTTGACACAGATGATCCTCATTATGACACACTGTGAGAACTCAACAATCAGGCAACTAGATTCTACCCCCAAGGTCATAGTCACATTGAAAGGAACTCCACTGAGGCCTAAAAATATAAAATTTGAAATTCTTACTTAGTTTTAAATTTTCTAGTACCAAATCTTAAAAGATCTGTAGCCTATATGAAAAAAAAAATCACTAAATAATAACAAAATATATTTCAATAACAAGATCACTAAAGGAACAGATAGAATCTTCAATTGTATTCCCATACAGTAGACATCATGATCAATAGTAAATATTATATATAATTATATTGCATGTAAATGTATACATATTGTCATATTTGACATTACATAATTCTTCAACAAAGATCAAATATAATAATTAAGGCGATGTAACACTTGAAATTTGATTCTAATTAGCTCTACTACAGTTACTAGTGTTTAAACAATTTAATAGCTAAAAAGAACAACAGTGAATGACATGGTCATGCATGCTGATGTTGTCCTTTGCCCTATTGCATGGAATGTCTAGAAAAGGGAAGCTTTCAGTGCTTGGTAACTACGACTTACACGTATCATCCGAATCTATGAGACACTTGTATCATCTCTGGTCCTGTAGTGCTGTATCATGATAACTATAGCTTTAGATCTGAGGTCTGTTTCCACTTTATTAGGAAATATTCTCCAACGGATGGTCAACAAAATCGACTTTAACTATACTTTTTTAATAATTTAAAGATTTTAAAAATAGACCTTCAGTACTAAAGAAACATCTTTTAACTTTTTTTCTTTTTATATTTCATAATACAACCCGAGCACGAGCAACGGTCGAGGCTAGACATGTGACACGTGTTCAGGGGGAATAACCACTGTTAGTTTGTATCTTGTTTATCTGTTAGAGTTGTTTCCCCTGATATGACCCGAGGAAAATGCTAACACTAAAACAGGTACAAATCTTTCAATATATATTTGCATTGTCATACTTTGTGTCCTATTTGTATTAAAGAAGACAACCCTTTTCTGAACTAGCAGTTTCAGAAGGTCATTCGATAAGTTATCACGGCTAAGAGAGTTGCTTTTTTAATTTTACATAAACGACACAGTATCCGGATAAACAAACTGGATAGAACTGGAACATAGAAACAATATACTGGATTTTGCTTGTTTTTGTGATATTATTGTAGACGATATCATGCACGTGTTTACTTTCATTTTGTAAGTAAAGGGCTGAAGGAGTTACAAATACTTTAGTAGTTATTTAAAATTTATTGTTGATTTAGATGCACATGTATTTAACAAATAACAAATGCAGCTAAACTCATAAATTGTATTCTGAAGGTATAGATGAAAAGGTGAGATTATTTTTAAATATTTAACTAGATCTACAAAAAATGCTTCATATTGGAGATGTAGACAATAATGTTATCTGTGTCTCTGTAACGAATCATATTTTATTTTGTTTGGCTCCAGATATTGTTTCTAAAGGGCAATTATTAATAACATATTCATTTTTTTGTGTGAATGACTTTTGAGGAGTTATTTCACTCCTTGAATTTTTTGTTAATCATAATGAGAAAAAGTTTCTGATGACAATTTTAAAATGTTAAAATAGTGGCTAATCATGTTCATAATTATGTTTATTACATAATGTGTAGGATCTGGGACCTTCAGTATGTTATTTGGTCCCAGGAAGGATGTAAATATAGATCTAATATTTTTCTCTATGATATTTTGAAAGAGCAAAAATGAAGGAAACACGGTGACACACTTTACTGTAGTGATAGAGAATACATGGTTGATGTCAGGATAGGAGAAGGTTTATCCGGTTTGCACTAAAGCTCGCCAAGATACTCTTTCTCGCCTGTCATCATAGGCTGACCATGTTGCATAATGACTGGAGATAGAGAATACATGGTTGATTGTGGGATAGGATTTATAAGGTTTATCCGCTGAGCGAGAAAGTGTATCTTGGCAAGCTTTACTTAGCCTTGCAGGATAAACTTGTCTATCTCCAGTCATTACGTCACATGGTTAGCCTTTGATGATGTCTATATCATCAGCTGGATAAAGCCTTGCCAAATAAACTTATCTATGTCCAGTTCTTACGTCACATGAGGACGTCATATGGATAGCATAAAAACAAAACTACATACAGACGCTGTTTTATCAGTGAAAAGTAAGTGATCAAAGTAGACAAAAGCAGGATAAATCAAATACATGGTTGATGTCTGGATAGGAAAAGGTAGGTTTATCCGGTTCACTGCGAAAATGAATCTTGGCTCTCTTCACCAAGATACACTTTCTCGCTCAACAGATAAACCTTCTCCATCCCAACATCAACCATGTATTCTCTATCATTGCATAATCACAGTTTATGTTTAGCTTTGTAAAAGTAAAGGCTTTATATATATTTAGTAAAGAGTTTACCACCCAATTGTGTCCATAAGGCAGGATCATCACCAGGGTAACCAGTTTGAAATAATCATAACATAATGCCAATCTTAGTATTTGTCATACAGTATATCATGTGGTGCTAAACAACATGTTAGTGTGTTTATTGTCCTTGATTCATTGTAACAATATAGTACTATTCTATTTATTTTCAGTTTATGCTCAGATCAGAAGTTTTGAAGCTTTATAGAAACATATTACGCACAGTGAAAAAAATACCAGATGAGTACTACAGGAATGAAATGAAATATTGGGCTCGTGATAACTTTGAGAATAATAAACATTTAACTGATGAGGTAACATTTCTGCACCACTACTTTGTTTGTTTGTTTGTTTCATTTTACGCCTTTTCCCAACAGTATTTCAGTCATATAGGTGGGTAGTTTCCTAACCATCATTCCTGGAGAGTAACACTAGTAGTACTAGACTACCTTCCTCCGTGCTAAACTATTAAAGCATTTCCCGGGGATCGAACCTTCGCCAGAGAGGTAACTGGATTAGAAGTCATTGACTCTAACCCCTCAACCACTGCTTTGAATAATTATATGAGAAAATTGACTTTACAAAACACTTTTTCTAAGAAAAATTAGAATATTTGTCAAATTTAATATCATTCATGACCCACTCAGTGGTGGCATTGATGGTTTACCTTTGTTTAAGTTTTCATTTATTGTCATAAACTTCAATACAGTCATACTAACAATGCTGTTATCATAGGAACTCAATATGTTGATACACCTTGGTGAGTTCTACCTGTCACATCCCTTCATGGTGACACTCGTACTTGTTATAGCAAAACACAAGATTAGTCATTTCATCAAAGTGCGAATGTCACGGCTTACTGTCAAGCACTGAGAAAAATGGAGTGTGTTGTTTCTTAGACAGCTTTTATTTAAAGGTATTTAAATGTGTACAAAAACTTTTATATAATGTAAGGTATTAATCAAGTTTTCTTTCAATCGTACTTTAGTTGTATAAAGTTTGAACTTTCTGAAGAGTTAGATTATTAATGCTTGTTTTCAGATTGCTATACAGATGATGATAAATAAAGGAAAAGCTTCACTACGAGAATTAGAACAGAGCATCAACCTTGCTAAATAGTAAGATTGAATTGTAATATCAGGGTCTTCATTATTAACAGAATGATTAAAATGCACTGAGTTAAAGTTGGTTGTATTTTCAGCCCGTTGATTAAATTAATATATGCCCCTATATCTCATTGTTTGGTTTTGTTGGCACATCTGTTGCCTCGGATAAAAATGAAAACCACAAGTATACAGTTTATTGAAATATATTGTAGCCTTTGTAAAACTTGTTTTGTAATCATTGCATTTTTTGATTCAGTGGCTTTACTCTATACTTTGGTATCCCTTTGTGTTTTTTTTGGCCAATTTTTGATCAACTGATATCAAAATTACAAATCAATGAAGTCATGGAACTTGATATAAACTTAACAGTGCTGGTGCAACTTGAATATTTTATTATTATTTACATATACATTTATATCATGATATGTAAAATTTGTAAATTTTGAACTTGTTTTTGCAGTACTTTCATCAATATATAGAAAGGATATTGAATAATGATGGTTCAATACTGAATATATCAAACAAGTTGATTAAAATTACATTGACATTTATATAATTTCAGAATTGGAACAAAAGTTTTATAACAGCAACTGAGGTTGTGTCGAAGTAGGATCGTAATCTGTGTGACTTCTTAAACATTCAGTACATTGATTAATTGGTCAAAATATATCACTTCGCTAAAGGGACAGGAAATTTTGTGAAACTGATGTCAGGAGAAAGCAGTGTTTTATTGAAATATTTATATCTTCAATGACATTTGAAAGTGTTTGATACAGTCATATATGTTTTATGTATGTATGACATAACTATTCTAGTTTTTCACTATTTAATGATATAATTTAAGCTATATACATTTTATTGGCATTTATATTTGAAATTTTCTATGTTCAAATATTGAATGTTACTAGCTTTTTGCATTTTAATGTGTTAAAGTGTCATCCCATATTAAAGTGCTAGATTTTTCCTTGCATTTTCAAGTATAATATTTTTATATACTTGTGTTTTCAAGTTCAATATCTGCCAGCAACTTCAACATTTAAATTGTATACTAGCAATTTTTTTTAAGTGTTTAATTTTTCCATTGTTCTCAAGTGCTGTACTTCTACCTGTGTATTCAAGTGCTATATTTTTACCAAGTTTTTTTTTTGAAAGTGATAGATCAAGTGTAAGATTGCAAACACTTTCTGCTGAAGATATGGAGAACAAAGGTGATAAAACTGGCTCAGCTGAGGTCACCATGGATAAAATCGTACCTGAACAAATTGATCAAAGTAACAATGCAATAGTTACAAATGTAAGTGCTACAGAAAACAATACAGCAAACGGTATGGACAACAAAGAGTTAGATGATTTACAGAATTCATTAGATAATCAGGCCGAGTTATTCAATAACAAGAAGAAAGAAATTGAACATAGAAGGCAGGCAGCTAAGGATAAGGTAAACAAAGTGTATGAAAAGGTTAAACAAGTCATAGATGAAAAGAGAGATGAAATTATTGGTAAAATAGATGTAGAATGTGACAGAGCTAAAGAGTTGGTTACGGACTATATCAATGATATAGAATCTGGAAAGAAGATTGTAAAGGAAACTTGTGATTCTATAGATTCAGATAGGGCAAAGGTGAAAAACGAGATTGAATCAAGCATTGAAATCCGTAAAGATGTTCTAGATAATTTCCATGTACCAAGTTTAATTTTGAATGAAAGGTCAATGAAGACTTTGAAAGGTATGAGTTTTGGACACTTTGAAGATTTAAGTGACGGGTTACTGAATACAGAGTCACATAGTTGCAGTGACAGCGAAGAAAGTGAAACTTATGAAAGTGCTGCAGAGTCAGAAGATTATCTTGAAAACGGGGAAAGTGATGATGGCAAAGATTGTTTTGATACTGATAGTCCGGAGAAAAGTAACAAAATGGAAGAAAGTAGTGAGTCAGAAACTCCAGGGTGTCGACATAAACATGCACTTAGTGGAGAATCCCCTGCACCATATTGGAAGGCTATGGGTCTGTCCAAACCACCCGAGTTACCACAGCCAGTAGATGATGACAATTTACCAGACAACAAATTACAGCATTTGAATTCCTTCTCCCTTCTTAGACAAGGTGATGAACATAAATTATCTTTGGCAGCTATGACGTGGAATAGAGGAAAGATATGTGTAGCTGATAGAGCCAATACAAAGATGAGATTTTTTCAGCCAACTGGTGAAATGATGACGGAAACGGTCTTCGATTGCTCTGAACTTCGTGATATGACTTTCCTTGATGAAACCCATGGGGAAACCAGATACGTTCTAACAAGTCCAAGATGTAAATCGGTGATGGTAATTGGCATTGATGGGGAAAACAATGTAAGAATTATTCATAAATTGGAATCACCACACCGGTACTCGTATGTATGCCGAAGTCCCAGGCCTGGGACGTTGCTTGGTGCAAAGGTTGTTTCTAAAAGTAACAAGTCAGTTGTTAACATGTTTACCTTTGCTGGAAACATTTTACTTACAATAAGTAAAACTCCTAGTTATAACCAGTTACAGTGTGTAAAGGCGCTTGATGTTTTCGGAAGTAATATTATTGTGCTAGATGGGAAAATAAATGCAGTGTTTGTGTATAAAGATGATGGAAGAACTGTCGGAGAGTATCGAGGAACACCAGAAGAACCATTAGTTAATCCAACAGATGTCTCTTTAGATACTAAAGGCAATGCTTTAATATTGAATGGTGAGCGCTCAAACATTCATGTTATGAACCTCCAATGTAATCTGATTGAAATTATCAAAATTCCAGGAAGTAATATTGGTAAGATGCCAAGCAGAAAATTGATTGCCTTTGATATAGAAAGTCAAAGACTTGCTGTAGCGAGGAGTAATGGTGAAATAGCTATATTTACGTTTAAAGGTGGTTACGATTGCTTGACACAGCAGACGCCCGACCCATGTTTAGCGTTGCCACATCAAAGTGTCAATAGTGTTTGGGAGCCACCACAAGAAGTGGTACCACTGGTTGAAGGGATTGTACCCAGCACTATTGAAGACATTATGTCAAGGCAAAGAGGAAGAAATAGACAAAGATACATGCCATACTGCCCATCTTAAAAATCTTTTTCACCTAGCTTTAATACCTGAAGACTTAGGCAAAGAAAATAAATATTTTCTATCTTAGATGATCTATGATTAATACCAATAGGTATAAATCTGCTATTCAGGCTTATTAAAATTGAATTAGGTTTTGATTTTTCTGTACAGAAATGTTTTTCTAAATGGTTCGTTATTTTACTTACCTTTGTAATGTGTGATATACAAGTCCTCCTGAACTACATGTTACTTCCTATTTTTCTCTGTGGAGAACTGAAAATATATTTTGTAAAAAAGTTATGTATTGATTTTAATGTCAGAGGTCTATTTTGTTGTCATATTGCAAAATCATATGTGTATAACATACAGTCAAACCTGTGAGACCGGCCATTTCAAAATGGAGCACTGTGAATACTGGTTATTAATGAAATTAAATTTATCTAAGAGTTGTCAGTTAGTAGAGGAATATTAACCTCGTCAAGAATACTTGAATTGTTTTATCCAACTTGAAAGAGATAAGTAAGATCAGTTTTCATGATATTGTATAATCTTTATCTTTATCTAATTTAATAAAACATGACAGAAATTAATATTTGATAAAAAAAAAAAAAAAAATGCCTGGCTTGTGTCAGCCACTTGCCAGACGTGATATTTTTGGATAACTTGCAGTGATAACCACTATTATAGTAAGTACAAAAGTCTTTTTTCAAAGTTTTTTTTTTAAATGATAATAAATCAAAATGTTTTAACAAAGATCTAAATTTTCTTGGAGTGGCTTTTTTATATTAAAGGTTTGACTGTATGCCAGGTTTTGGTTACATAGACCATGTTGTAACAGTTTCACTATATTTATGCATGAAGAAATGATTAAATTATGAGCCGCGTCATGACAAAACCAACATAGTGCGTTTGCGACCAGCATGGATCCAGACCAGCCTGCGCATCCGCACAGTCTGATCGGGATCCATGCTGTTTGCTGTCAGTTTATCCATTTGTAATAGAGTTGGTAAGCGAACAGCATGGATCCTGATCAGATTGCATGGATGCGCAGGCTGGTCTGGATCCATGCTGGTCGCAAACCCATTATGTTGGTTTTGTCATGTCACAGCTCATTTGTTGATTGTTGTACATAGAATTATGGTTATGATGATACTTTTGAAGAAAAACATGCAATTTTTCTCTCAAATTATGTAATTATTTTGTACTGTTAAGACTTGTACTTAAAATAAGTTACGAAACCCTATAGATAGTTAAAATTAATATGAATGATTTTTTGGCTGCTAATGAAGTGTTGAACTGGTATCTCATGAAGAAAAATTTTGGGCAAAACACAGTAGCATTGTTATAGCTATAAAAGGCCCATTCTGTCTTAGAAAATAATGCTGTTATTATTATTTCTTAAAAGTTGTTTTTGGCAATTAGTACAGTTACAGTGATTTGATATTTTGTACGGAAAGTCAAAATACTACTTGGTTTGTATTTTGCTACATTGGTGACAAACAATTTCACATTATCAAATAATTTCAAATTTATCGCTACTTTGTTTAGGTAACAAGCATCCAGCATGCTGTCATACATATATTTAGATATTATAATAAAACTCAAGTTTTTCTAAAGATGTAAACATCTAGTGGTTTCTGAGTAATAATGTGCCTTTAATTAAAGGAAATTGCCATAATACAGTTATTATTTTCATCTGTGTAAGGATTTTGAGAGAAATGTGACCATTTATATCTAATAAAATTTTGTCACGGGAAGATTATACTGAAGAATAGTTGTGCTTGAGAGATCTACCTCTTAACCCAGGCATTTTTAGTTTGATCCCTACAAGGCTCTTTCATACACCAATACTGGTTAGTTTCTGTCAGAGTGCTTCTCTGACAGTGCTTCAAATATACATCAGGCTAAAGTAAGTGTCAAGTATTTGTCAGGTATATTGTGCAATATACTGAAAGTCCCGGGTTTGAGTCCCTGTCCTGCTGCAAATTTTCTCACCATGTGACATAAGGTAACATGTGTAGGGCAAGGATAAATTAAATGTTTGATTTATGTCATTATGATAAAATAACTTTAATATTTTGTAAATGAATAAACATTGTACATATGAACAATACTATCTGTCTGTTATGCACAATTATAATTAAATTACTTTGGTGTTTTTAAGCATCAAAAGACACTCTTTGCATGGGCTTAGACCCCTCAAATCATCCAGAAAATTAATTTTGTAGTTTAATATTTGTAATTTTGGCATTATTGTATATATAAATGAAATGATTTTTGTTAAATATGTGAGCAAATATTATTTGTCTATTTGCATTTCAAGTGATTAATGAAGTTCACTTAAATGTAAAGCCAGTCTCAAATAATGTTTATTTTTATGACCATATATACATGTACATGTATAATGTGCTGAAAAGAATGAAGGAAACATGAAGTATGGAACTTCCCATTTAAGAATTCTAGTCTGCAATTTTTATTGTTACAGAATGTCTGTGAATACCATGTATGAATTATTAATTATATATGACTGATGCAAAATTCTGTGGCGGAGGGGTTGTATTGAATTCGTCAACACTTGCAATCTGAATTGTATACTTTACAGTGCATAATATTGTGATTTTCATATTCATTTTTCTATGACAATCTTGTTATAAAGTATGTAAAATTTACTGTTGCTTCTTGACATTCTGTAAATGTTTTGGAAATCTATAAAAAATGGGAACATATTTGCAATTGTTTTTGACAATCTATGCATATGTAAAATGATATTATGTCAGTCCTAATTTGCTATTGAGCCTAGCTTATGAATGGAATATTGGTGGTTCTGCCTGTAGTGCTGGTTTGTGCCTGACTTATTGTATGAAGGGTAACATATATTCCTATGCCAAAGGTTTACCTTTATATTCCTTTGCCAATAAAGGTGAAAAGTTGCCATATAATCATTATAGTGTCATTGAAACTGAAAAACCCAGTCCAGCAAGTTTCTGAGCAATGGCTCTCACATTGTGATTACAATTTACAAATGTAAAAGTATACATGTATAACAATATCTCTATCAGTTTCATTGTAAACAAATCAGATTTAAACAAATTACCTACATGAATGCATGTACATGAATCAGTTGGAAGGTGAAAGTTCTAGGATGAAAAGAAAAAATAATCAAGAAAAAAGAATGGTGATATGTTAGATATTATGTTAATGTGCCATGAAAAATATTAAAATGGATAATAATGGAAATAGTACATGTAGCAAGATTGCTTTAAATAAATTTGATTTATTGCATAATAAACATGTATGAAAATATAAATGTACATTTGTATATATTTGGAGAAATTTGGTGCATTTTTGTAAATGTATACATGTTTGTTCTTTAGTTATAAATTAAAAGTGACAAAATTTATACATTTTATTTGTAATGTTTCCTAGCAGTATATTGTTTGAGCTAAAATAGTCTTAAAAATTTTAAAATAACTGCTAATAAAATCGAATGGTGATTTGTCTACACAGTATTTAAACGTAATTACTGTACCATATCTTGCGAGCCCATACAAATCAATGTGTACCACAAGCACTGTTCGGATCACTGAACCTTTCTTGGGAGCATTTTAATGTTTACCTTTATTGTGATAACAGGAAGTTATTAGACCTGTTTATTATTTATAAAAGAAATCACTGTACCCTATCTTACAAGTCAATTCAATTCAATATGTATCCAGTCTTCCAATTACAAGCATATGATACTTTCGATCACTGTACCTTTATTGGGAACTCATATATTTTAACTTTACCTCTCTAAATAGAGTTGGTTATACACTGTGGTGTCTCACCACTTATTCAGAAATCATATGCGAATAGTAGTCAGTCATTTGCAGAGAAATTGGTAATTACTGGTTGATTATCCATGAGCGGGTAAGGTGAATTGAACACGAAGAGATGACCAAAAATCACAAGTCCACACTAGTTGAAAAAAATGTCATTTACTAGTAGAAAGACTAAGGTGATGATAGTTAAAGAATGTTATTAAACTGTTTACGAATGCTTAAAGAATGTTAAATGTATACTTTGTGTGGGCCTTCACTCTGGTTTTGAACATTGATGACACTAATGGGTAAAATTTTATTTGTTTCTGTGTCTACATTTACTTCAAATGTAATATAATGGTTCATTCCAATTTAACATTTCCTGAACACTTTGATCGTCAGACTGCATTATCTAGTCTTATAAACACTGGTCATATTGTGTTATAAAAAAATTAGGGTTGGAGACAACCTTTACGTCCAAATCCATATATATACACACATTTAATCTTTCACCAGTTACCCAGTTTATTTGTCGTTTACTACTGAAATACATTGTATACAAATATGTCATTACATAGCGTGTATATCTACCTCTTGAAAGATTGATGAGCCGCAGCTAAAATGTAATTTAACAGTTTGCAACAAATATATACATATTAAATATCTACCAAATTCACATAGAATAGCATCGTTGGAACCCACGGTACACATTCTGTATATACTACTTTAAGATAGGTAAACGGTAATTAAATAGCCTTGTTGGAAAGCAGAAACATGTCTTTCAAAAAAATGTTTACATGAATAGACTTGTACAATGTTTCTATACATTTAATGTCTTGAAGACTCCACTGTATACAAAACAGTATGGGTGCTATTTTAGAACCAGAAAAAGTATTGTTATGTAAATATAAAGAAATATGTCTGAATGAACTGAGAAAATATACGACCACTATTTTCACTACAGTAGCCATAGCCTCTGTCATTTTATACGAATATCATCTGTTACTAAACAATATCTGTGAAACCGTTTACAGTGACAGATTAGTTGAGTACCATTATTGAGGTCCATCTTACTGGGCCACGAGAACTTTTTTTCAATATTAGCATAAGGTTTACTACATGTAGTAATACAACATTCACGGTAGGGAATCATGTGACTTTTACGATTACGCGTACAGACAATATGGCGGCCTAAAATCCTCGCTTCACATGTGTTTTTCAGGTAATTCTTTACTATATCCCTTTTACTTACATACGAGACCTGTTGCAGCCTACGCGGAATAAAGAATTGTTGCCGCCTATACCTTATTTTCCACCCCTGTGCTCATAGCTTTTACAAACACTCAAAAATTCAACAGAAATTTTCAATGTGAACAATTATATTTCGGGTAACATTCACGCAAAATTTGTATTTTTTATGAATTTGATTAAACTACGTCGAGTAAGCAAAGAGAAAATATTCATAGAATTTCTTTATTTGAAAATGTAAATATTAGGCATGTTAAATGTTGACTGGTCATTTTCTATTCCATTACACGAGAGAAAAATGATTTGGGTAACTCCCACGCATACTTTTATTGTTGATAACTCCCACGCAATATTTTATGTGCAGGCAATATCTATGCAGGTTGTAGCCTAGATATTGATTGAAAAAAAATCATGATTGATGCATTTAGCATCAAACTTTCATTGAATTTTGAATAATATTAAAAATACCGCAAATAGGTCCTTGATAGAAGTAACCCAGCAGGCACATCAACGGTGAACAACGTTGAAGTATGATCAGATTTCAACGTTGAAATAACGTTAGATTTATGTTCAAATTTGAAAGTTTAAAAAACGTTGAAGTTCAACGTTGGCACAACGTTGAAGTTTCAATGTCATTTCAACATACTTTAATATAAAAATAAAGCTAAGTACTGTACGTAACAGAGTTTAACAAAAAAATCAAGACACTATTAAATACTTCAGCTATTTTATTTCAAAACTTCAGTTCAAGTGTAGCTTAAATTCAAACGATTTAAGAAGTCCTTTTAGTTTAACAATTAAGCTACAATCTGTTCCAATCTACCACTAGTTCTTCTTCTAGAGCTCTCTTGGTATGTCTAAAGTGTGTCATGATGGTGTTTGAATACTTCTACTGCTTCTGCAAATAAAATAAGAAGTTACTAGTTAACTTAGTGATTTGTTTTATCTTAAAATGCTTATCTTCTAAGATTTAAATAATAAAAAAGCATAGAAATTAAGATACAGCCGAAGTTTCATATTGACAATAAATTATGTTCACTAAACAACAAAACTTTTTAAAAAGAAGCTATTTAAGTCTGACCTATTATTGGTAAGAAAAACTTTCCCAAGAACAGTCCTTTCCATGTTAAATTTATGGTATAGAAGCTACAGCTGTAATACTCTAAATTTCAGCCAGGACCAGGATCTAGAATATAAAATAAACTTATTATTCCCTAAAAATTCACGGCAATTAAACTTAAAATTTAACACTCAACTTTATTATTTAACCACAAACAGTTTAATCAATATTTATTTTGAAATTGCAATGGATTTAATGTATTTTTCAAACTAATTCACATTTAATTTTACTCTGACTAAGATATAAAATTAATACAGTTAAATTGACGAATCGTCTTGGGGCGTAAATTATATGGGGCGAACAACACTTCATCTGCTTATAGGTTACAATAATATGATAAATAAATAGAGAATAATAGGTTGGTGCCGTGGATGGAAAAGTTTATCTGGCGAGGCGGAGGAATTTATTGGGTTCGCCTTCGGCTCACCCAATAAATTCCGGAGCAGAGCCAGATAAACTTTCTCCATCCACGGCACCAATCTATTATTCTATTTATCCTGTCACCGTTTTTTTAAAGAATTTTATTAGGCAAACTACATTTAATCACGCTATTGGAAATGTTTGTATATAAACAAAGAAGGCCCTAATTATTCTACAACAATGCACTCGCCGTTCTTATTATCTCCCTGTGTAATTTCACATTGAGGGCGATTTAACGACAGTTTTTATATTTTTTCTTGAAAAGTAGGCCGGCAAACATGCATACCACGTGATCAAGTGCCGTAGATCAGTAAAAATATACGGCACCTTGTTATCGGGCCGAAATTGATACAAGTGACAGGATAAATTTCAAAAAGGCATGGCTTGTAAAATCATAAATTGCCAAGGACATCAATAACTTCGCGTAAGGCCTCCCAAACCCAAAGCATTCAATTAGGTCGCGTTTTGATACAAAAGTCTAAAATATTAGAAGGAGGTTTGTATTTCTGTTTTTATTAGTAAAATTACAGTTGTCATTTTTCATATTTTGCAGATATGGAAGGTTCCATCTCGGATATTGTTTGTGATAAATGTGGGAAACATTTCATTCACGGATAGGTCTCAAATATTGACCACATGAACAGTCTACACGGCACAGGACCTTATAAATGTATGTTAAATACAGACACTAATTTGAAAAAAAGTTGGTTTCATAAAAGACTAAGTGATAAAATGACATGAATGTCTTTAAAATCTTAATATAACGAATAACATAAAATGCCATACCTGTCACGTTTCGATTTGCCACAACATTTACAAGGTCCTGTGCCGAGTAGCCAGTTTATGTGGTCATTAAGACAAATGTTGTCCAACATTATCCACAAACAATATCCGAACTGGAACCGCCCATATCTGCAAACTATAAAAAATGACAACTGTAATTGTGCTTAAACTGAAATCGACCTCCTTCTTATATTTGAGACTTGTATTTTAATTTCTGCGATTAATTCATCTATATCGAAACTTCATTTAATATATTCACGTGAGTATGTATTCTGCTATCCATAGGGGCTTTATTCTATCCAGGACTATTGGCGGTATTTTTAATATTATTCAAAATTCTTTGAACGTTTAAGGCTAAATGCATAAATCATGATTTTGCTCAATCAATATCTAGGCTATAACCTGCATAGATATTGCTTGCCCATAAAATATTGCGTGGAAGTTATCAACAATAAAAGTACGCGTGGGAGTTACCCAAATCATTTTTCTCTCGTGTATTGGAATAGAAAATGACCAGTCAACATTTAACATGCCTAATATTTACATTTTCAAATAAAGAAATTCTATGAATATTTTCTCTTTGCTTACTCGACGTCGTTTAATCAAATTCATAAAGAATACAAATTTTGCGTGAATGTTACCCGAAATATAATTGTTCACATTGAAAATTTCTGTTGAATTTTTGAGTGTTTGTAAAAGCTATGAGTACAGGAGTGGAAACTAAGGTATAGGCGGCAACAATTCTTTATTCCGCGTAGGCTGCATCAGGTCCCGCATGTAAGTAAAAGGGATATAACAAAGAATTACCTGAAACATGCGAGGTGTTTATCCCGCCATATTGTCTGTACGCGTAACCGTAAAAGTCACGTGATTCCCTACCGTGACATTGTTCAACTATTTTGTAACAAGTTTAATTTTACTTGCAAACCGTCTGTTGTATCTGAATGTTATGCTATATCATTTTGCAAACATACATTAATAAAATCGGACGTAGACTACAACCTTGGCGAAGTCTTAATTACTGGGCAGTCATATTATTTTTGATGGAATATTTTTTATCTAGATTAATAATTTACAAGGTCACTGTCTAAACAATCTGAATAAAATAAGTAAGAACGTAATGCTACCCTTTAAATATAAACCAAGGAAGTCAGGTTACTGTGATCAGGTACGCACCTTGTTTAATAACACGCGTTGATTTTTCATAGTTCCGGGGAAAATGCATGTACTTGACATGCACTTAATTACTTCATAATCACGTCATAACATCCTGTTGATAACCACACAATGATATGCAGTACATTCAATTGTAAAAAGGAAAAAGGTCATTAACTGATTTTGTGTAAACAAAAGAGTATAATTTGTAATTACATGTAAAACATAACAGAATTTCAGTTGAAAATATCCGGTTATTACAAAATTTGTCTGCGTCACATTCACACCTAAAATGGATCGGATTTAAACCAATTAATCACTTTAGGATTACCATAACTATCTTAGCTGTTCCAGGGAAGTATATAAACATTTCTGTTTGTGCACAGTACTCTTTTTAGTGTAAATGCTACAATTCAAAATGGAGCGTGTTCAAGAGAGATCAGTACAAATGGGTGCAAGTGACAGAGACTTAGAACCAGGAGCAGTAAATGGAAATGCTCGACAAGAAGATGAACATACCCATTTGAATACACATAGTTATGATCAGGGTAGAGAGCTGAATAGTTTAAAGACTTTGCTCATTGAGCAGGAAGCTGTGTTTAGAACTGAACAAATGAGTTTAGAAACAAGAAAGCAAACGGCTAAGGAAAGAGTAACTGACTTGTTTGAAAGTTTTCGTAAACTACTGGTAGAAAAAGAAACCGAGCTCCTTGACAAGATTGACTCAGAATACTCAATATCCGGAAGTTTATATAATATTGAAAGTGATAGGCAAAGAGTAGATGATATTGCAAGTGGAGTTGAGCGTGAAACCAATATTGAACAAGTAAGAGGCGATATTTATAGAAATATAGAAATGAGAAATGATATTTTAAACCGGATTCGTGTCCCATATTTAGCTCTAAACGAAGACTCGATAAATATTGTCAAAAACCTCAGTTTTGGTGAGTTTTACGAGAATATTCCCGAAGAAAATCACGAGACTGAATCAGATAATGACAATGTTGTGAATGAAGCTGATGATAAACAAGAACCAGATAATAACTTAGTTGTAGGAAACAATGCAAATGTGGCCAGTATGGATGACAACAATAAAATTTGTGAACAAAATGAACGTGGAAATAATTTAGCAGAGGGTAGTGCAGATGAAAACGGGCATTTTGATGAAAAGGAGAGGGGTGCATGTGGTACAACAGGTGATGAAGTACGCCTTCCTACTGCCCCTCCTGCTGAACAAGAAGAATCCCCTCCACCTTACTGGCAAGCTATGGGGTTGGAACAACCAGATTCTGGTGAAAGAAGCGTTGTAGTCCCTGGATATTATGACATTCCACATTCACCAGTTAATCAACTGCCTGATACATGTAACAAGTTGCAGTTGTGGCACTCATTTCCAATACGAAGGCAACACGATCGACGGGAACCTTTAGCTGTTGGTTTGACATGGAATCACGATCAAATATGTTTGGTAGACAGAGCGAATAATAAAATTAAATTTTTCTTACCTAATGGCCATTTATTAGCAGAAATGTTCTTTTGTGACACAGAAATACGGGATGTAGCTTTTCTCGAGGAATGTCGAGATGAATCAAGATATGCAGTAACTAGCCCAAAAAGTAGAGATCTGATGATTATTAGTATTGACGGATGTCATGTTACAAAAATTGTCAAAAAGCTTACATTTAAACAACAATACTCGTGTGTTTCACGTGGACCAAAAGAACAGACGTTACTTGGTGTAGAAGTTGCTCAAAATTATGGTGCACCGGTTGTTAATATGTTCACATTCACAGGACAAATTTTATTTTCCATTGCCCATACTCCTAGTTTTAATATTCTGCAATATATAAAAAGTGTGAAGGTGTTTGGAAACAAAATTATATTCCTAGATTGGAAATTGCACTCCGTATCTGTATTTGATGATAATGGCCAGTCGCTGGGAGAGTATCGTGGAACGCCAAACTTTCCGTTGATAAATCCACTAGATATGACGCTAGACAATAAAGGAAACATACTTATTCTTAATAAAAGAGAGTTCTCAAACATACACGTCATAGATCAGCATTGTAATCTTGTGGAAATCATCAAACTTCCGGGAAACGTTTCGAGCGCAAAGTTGATATCATTCGACACAGACACTCAGAAGCTCGCAATGGAAAAAGATAACGGTGCTATTGCGATATTTACTTTCGAAAATGGGTACGATTTCCTACTACAGAGGAATCTCCGCCAAATTTTGGAATGAAAGCGTACGTCGCCAAAGGACAGCGCGCGCCAGACGAACTTCCACTGGTAGAGCGGATTTTGCCAAGCACCGTAGAAATGTATTACCAACAAGAAATAGAAGCAGACTAGTACCATACGGAATTTTCTGAGTCGTATTGAATTGTACATGATGCATTGTGTGAGACCTGTTTAATTATAACTTGACTTATATCTGACTTTTTACAGATTTAATTTTACATATACAATGTACTTTTCATATCCAACGTAAAGCTTATAAAAAATGGCAATTTGGCGTTCCCAAAATAACACTGACAGTCCAGAACAGATGTTTTTAGAGACACAAATTTTGGTTTTGCAGCTGAGAGAGGTTTGATTAACTGTACATAAAGTCTTACTTTGAAAAGATTTTTTTCCTGTTATCTGGTTATTGTAAAGATTTTATTGCTCTACAATTTCTGCAGATTTTTTTTTATAATTATCCTTTCAAGTTCAAATTCGATTTGGCATCTTCTATCACTGTTTTACGTGGATATAAAAGTGGCTGTAAATAATAAGTGGTAAAACTAATTTGTTTAAGTATATATTACAAAATATGTCACTGGGTCATTTTGGCTGAATGATAGAGCATCGGAGTCCTAACCCGGAGGCCGTATATTCGAATCCCACCAGTGGCAAGATTCTTTTTCGACTTCTAAATCAAAACTGGTTTTGTTACAGCCTACGACACATAGGAAGAGCAATCTTGTGTGTTTTCAAGAACTATGACAATGTCTAGGTCTCCAATAAGGGTTCGAAGTTAAGGAAAAAATAGTTCGATAAGTGACTTAATGCTTATTCGTGTCGTGTAAATTGATTTTAACACGATCTAGGGCATCCATGTAGATATAACATTGGAAGACGTAGCCATCTTTTCATATACAGCAAATTAAAAAAATGCCAAAACACTAATATTTTCAGCTAATTTTTGTTTGTTTATACTTAATTATATTGTTCTCACGACTCAAAGACCTTCATTATTTGACTTTTTAATACACCTCGAACATGCAACTCAAATATATTAGTGATAATTATTTTGATAGATACTATTGTTTTTAAGCTATGTATACAGAAGATGTGTAACAAGATACAACCGTCATAATGTTTTATACAAGTAGAGGAACTTAATAAACATGTATTATTATTTATATAATATAAAGTATTTCATCCTCTTTTTTTAAAATTTAAACGCTGTTTGTTGTTGTTTATTTTTATTTGTCCCCTGTTTGAAATACACAAGTTGCGAAATTTCATACCAAAACGTTGCGAAATTTGATATCCGGTTTGTGTAAACTAAAAATAAGCTAATATTTTACGGATCACTCTAACATATAATAGACAGTATGTGCGGATCGTGGTGGGTTGGGTGAGCGGAGGGGGGAAGGGGAGGGGGAGATTTGCTTAATATAATATAAAAAAAAACAACAACATCTCCGCCGCTCCGAAACTTGTCAAACATGACATGCACCAGAGACAAGAATTTCCATATTATACACAAAACAGCAACATATCTAAACGCGTAGACAACATGTATATACTACCATATTTTTTCATACAAGCATTTTGGAAGTTTTCTTTATTTACAATTCAAACAATTAATTATACATGTATATGTATATTATGTTACGTTAATACACAAGTCAAGATCCTAATCCCCGTCCCCGCCGGAGAATAGCGGAGACTTTGTCTTTTCAACTTTGCTAAAACAATCCATTACAATAACATTATACTCGTTAACTTAAATACGTTTTAATGATTTATATGAGAAGGGTATACATGTATTGACATTTATTTGGTTTAAAGATCGATCCTGTACATGTATGTTGTAATTAAAGTACTTGTTACCACACATAAGACTTTAGTGAATTTTATATATGTATATAATTATTCTTCTTAAACAATTTTCAAACATCCAAGAATATGTAAGATATGTACTGCAAATGTTTAAACGCATTATATGTAATAATTAAAATATGTGCATTCATTTCTTATTTAGACTTTATAGAAAATAAATTTCTGGAGGAAATAAAGAAATATACATGAAATGTAAATTCGGTAATATCTTTACAAATAATGGTTTTTGGAACCTACAATATTGATAAACCTTCATTTAAGCACCATGTTTATGATATAAAACCATAAAAAAGAGTTACAGGATCTTTAAAGATTTAAAATTTTGTTAGTTCCAAAAAGCATCATACCGAATTTAACATTTCATGTAAATAAAGGGAGGTAATAAAAATATTTTCTATAAAGACTAAGTCAATTTTTTTCAATAAGAAATGAATGCATATTTTAATGATTACATATAATATGAACAAATATTTGCAGTACATATTTTACATATTCTTCGATGTTTGAAAACTGTATATTTGTATATATAAGTGTGGTATACAACTTCAATTACAACACACAGGATTTTAAGCACAAATGCGATGTTCATCCGTTATCAAAGACATTCAAGCACAGGAGTTTGAAACTTGTCGATGAAATAGAATAACAGTCAAACAAATAAGATATACATGTAAATACACTCTGTATAATATACCTATTATATGATAAATACACATTATTTATCACATATATAGATTAGAAGTATACATTTGACATCATTTCTTATCTGTGCTACTGTATCTCTCATTTATTGTTATCATATTATTGAATATCAAGCTCAGGTGATCCAAGTATAGTCAGGATCAACGAAATATCGATCTGTGGTTTTATATATATCGGAGTCCGCGACAAGCTACGCACGGTATTCAGTACCTGTGTTTTACCTGCTTAAAAGGTCATGAACTTTGATTATTTGTGTAAATGAAAATGTAGTTTGTTTATTTAGATACATTCTTCTTATTCACAAGGAGTTGAGGTTATCAGTAACTTATCACAAACATATATCGATTTGACATAGTGAGAGTTAAACGCTACAGGTAAACAAACGATATTACAACTACACAGAATACCTGCAGATTAAATGGCCGCGTGTTTGACATATTTTATGCATATCGTGCTGCGTAATTCAAATGCATCACTGAAAACTGGAGTTTATGAAACAATATACACCTCGGATTACGGAACAAGAGTGAAAATAATGCCATCATTAATAGGTGATTGTTAGGCATTTACACTTGTGAAAATGACTGAATTACAACTGAATTACGATGATTATGTTAGTTGTAAACTTTTTGTGTTAAAATGAAATGTTTAAAAATTTAAAACTCGATTCAAAATGGAGTGCGTCCAAGAGAGACCGAGATCTACACACAGATCAAGACGAAGGGTCAACAGTGAAAGTGCAGTGGAGGAACCGGAAGTAGAGGACGATGGTCAAAAAGAAAGCGTAAATGACGAAGGAAATACGAATGGGGACGAATATGACCCGGGTAGAGCAATTGCAGAATCTGAAAGGCAAAAGCTGAACGGTTTAAAGAATTTGCTCATCGAACAAGAAGAGGTGTTTAAAACCGAACAAGAGAGCTTTGAAACAAGAAAGCAGACGGCTAAAGAAAGAGTAACTGACATGTTTGAAAGTTTTCGTAAACTACTGGTAGAAAAAGAAACCGAGTTGCTTGACAAGATTGACTCCGAATACTCAATATCTGGAAGTTTCTTTGCGGATTTTGTAACGAATATTGAAAGTGAGAAACGGAGAGTAGACGAAATATTAGACAGCACGAATAGTGCTGAGAACGAATCCAATTTTGACGACATAGGAGAGGAGATTGATAAAAATATAGACATGAGAAATGATATTCTATACCAGTTTCGTGTCCCTTACTTAGTTTTAGATGAAGAATCAATAAATACTGTCAAAAACCTCAGTTTCGGCGAGTTTCAAGAATATACACCCGAAGAATATCACGAGACTGAATCGGATAATCACAGTGAATCTGAAGTTACACAAGGACAAGATAATAACGTAGCTGGACGATATGATGATATTGTAACTTGTGTAAATGACAATAATGAAAATTGTGAACAAGATGATGAACGGGGAAATAATCTAGCGGAGGGTATTGCAGATGAAAACGAGCATTTTGATGATAAGGAGAGAGGTGCATGTGGTACAGCAGGTGATGAAGTACGCCTTCCTACTGCCCCTCCTGTTGAACAAGAAGAATCTCCTCCACCTTATTGGCAAGCTATGGGGCTGGAACAACCACATTCTGATGAAAGACACACAGTTGAAGTCCCTGGATATTATGACATCCCACATTCACCAGTTAATCAACTGCCTGATAACAAGTTGCAGTTGTGGCACTCATTTCCAATTCGAAGGCAACACGATCGACGGGAACCTTTAGCTGTTGGTTTGACATGGAATCACGATAGAATATGTTTAGCAGACAAAGCAAATATGAAAATTAAATTTTTCTTTCCTAATGGCCAGTTGATAACAGAAATGTGCTTTGGAGGTACGGATATACATGATGTAGCTTTTCTTGAGGAATGTCAGGGTGAATCAAGATATGCAGTAACTAGCCCAAAAAGTAGAGTTATTATGATTATCAGTATTGATTTAAGTCAAACTCCGAAAATTATCCGAAAGCTTACATTTAAACAACAATACTCGTGTGTTTCTCGTGGACCAAGAGTACAGACTTTACTTGGTGCCGAAGTTGCTCAAAATTATGGTGCACCGGTTGTAAATATGTTCACATTCACAGGGCAAATTTTACTTTCCATTACCCATACCCCTAGCTTTAACTTTCTGAAATATATAAAAGGTGTAGAGGTGTTCGGACGAAACATTATAGTTCTTGATTGGAAATTGAATTTCGTAGGTGTTTTTGATGATAACGGTCAGGCGCTTGGAGAGTACCGTGGAACGCCAAACTTTCCTTTGATAAATCCACTAGACATGACGCTAGACAATAAAGGAAACATCCTAATTCTCAATGGAGAGTTCTCAAACATACACGTGATAGATCAGCATTGTAATCTTGTGGAAATTATCAAAATCCCGAGAAATAAGTCCTCGAGTTCAAAGCTAATATCATTCCACTCAGACAGTCAGAAACTTGCAATCGCTAGAGGTAATGGTGATATTGCGATATTTACTTTCGAAAATGGGTACGATTGCCTACCACAGAGAAATCTCCCGCCAAATTTTGGAGTGCCAGCGTCGCCAACTGCCAGCAGCAGAGGACAGCGCGCACCAGAAGTACTTCCGTTGGTAGAGGGCATGCTGCCAAGCACCATAGAAGATATAATTATGCGACAACCGACAAGAAACAGAAGCAGACAATTTCATTTGTAACACTGTCTTATTGAATGGTTCAGGAATGTGTTGAATCTTACACGATGCAATGTGCATGCTTTATGCATTGTAACTAACGATTCATTTCAAAACAATTTGCATGCATAAATCAGTACGCAACTTTATTTGCTGAACTTTGTTCCAAACATATATGATCTGTTTTTAAAGTTACCACGACATTTTGTTCATTTTGTTAATCCGTAAAATTAGACACTGTTAAGTACAGTACATGTACATACTTTTAATGAATTTTTGTCTCTCATGTACCCCGATATGTTTTATGTTCAAGTTAATTTTCAGTTCTTTAAATCACAAGTGCCTTCTGCACTGAATCATTAGGCCATATATATTGATCTTAGTCCTTGGTTTTACACCCTTTGGCAGGACCAGGGTTAGTGTTTTTAGTGGTGAACTATCAAAATTAGTGAAATATGAAATTAAGTTACATTAACTTGTATATTATAAAAATGAGTCACATAAAAGCAACACTTGAATTTTTACTGACATGTTTTTTTGAGGGGAAAATGCATTTATTTTTGCAATTTTTTACAGGCTAGTCAAAAGACCAACAAAACTCTTACTTATACTAACAGATTTTATGTGTTCAATTGACATAAAGTACATGCCAAACATTCTAGTCTGTGAGACAAAAATATAAAAAGGCCCAATTAACTTAACTCATAATGTTATTATAGTAGAAGAGCGTTTGTGCAGCAAAGATGCATTTGTCAATTCAATTTAAGCATTGTTGTATAACTCAAATTTGATTTACTTTTATATACATGTATTTGATCTGTGTATATATATATAATAGATATAAATTAAATGTATGATAGCGTGTATTAGAATTAGATTGTTTATTGTTTTACTATATACAATACATTGTTAAATCCAACTTGTTAATTATTTTACATAAAAAAATAAGTTGTCAAAGAGGTGCTATTTTAAACTATACTTTTGATGGTATGTTCTTTCTAATAGGAGACCCTTACGTGCCACTCCGAGCCCGTCCGTTCGTGCGTCAATCCGTCCTTATTTCGTCAAGTTCCTGTCATATTTTGTTACAACTCATACGCGATAATTGCTCATGTAAATAATTAAAAACAATGAAAACACCAAGACATTTTTACATGCATATATATTTTAATAATGTAAAAGATAGTTCGTCCAAAATTGTAACAAGTACAGTTATCTTCCTTGTCGATTCGAAATAAATACATAGCCTGTAATACTGCTGCGACCTGTGCAGACCAGGAGCAAAATGGCCGACTAATCATGGCATGCCTTGTTATGCAGTCAGTACATATTTAAAATTTTTCCTAACAACCTGAATAATGGTTAAGATAGCCGGGTTCATTTTAGATATTTGGCGTGGTAATGGCTAAGTCGTGTGCTGTTTTGAAAAGCTCACATATTATTGTCTTTAATTAGTGTTTATTTATTTTCAATCTTCGTTTAATTGTATTACGTTGACGTCTTCTATTTGACTTCCTTCTATCAGCATTTGAACTGTAACGTTTATAATATTTTTGCGCGCTTCTTGAATTCTTCTGTCTGTAAGACGATTTCCCTCTTCGGAAGGACGGGTTTCGTGAATTTCTAGCTTTGTTTATCTTCACTGCAGGATTATGTTTTCTAAATAGAATGTTTCTTATTGTTTTACCACCACCACGGCTTTTCTCAAGTGTTCTTCCATTATTTGGATTTCCAGAAAAGGTCTTGTAAGTGTTTCGATCCGTTGTTAAGTTACCATCTTGACTGTTGACATGATTTAACACAGTGCTGCTTTCTTTCTTCGAGCATATGCTAACATCACAATATTGCCATTTATAATTACTCTTAGTGGTGTAACACCAGGGTCTATCCTTCCGGTCACCGGAGGGATTTCTGCAGAAGTTATGATTTCCTGTATGGAAATAAAAGACTAAGCATTATTATGTATCAACAATATTATTATAATTGGAATATTTAGGTCTGTATTAAGTCCGTAAAGTTGCGAGCAATTTAATACTAGTATTACGCGTTATATAGAGCTCTTGTATTCAAATACATGCAGACCTACTCCGTGTTAGCTTTAGCATACATGTACATAATATATCTGACGGTTTATTGCAGATTTCTTTGCGGTTAATCACTTACGGTTGAAGAAAATATAGACCTAAATATAGTTAAAATATCTTTTCACAACAATATGCACATCTACCGTTTTAAATTCACAGTTGAATAAATTCACTGACATTCTGGGCATGATGTTATCAAAGTTTAAATGAATAAGCGGATGCGTACAAAATAATCTTTGCATTAGACCATGCTTAATTTTTGTGAATTCAACTCTACAGAACAGAACAAACAGTTTATTCAAGACTTGTACAATAAGTACATAATCATTATACATATACATAAATAAATAGTACATATGATTTGATGTCATAATGGAAAAATAGTCAAAAATGCATTTAACAAAAATATATATCTCATCAAATTCGCAGTGGCAATAAATGTAACATAAAACTATCTCAACAGACAAATCATTTATATAATTCAATCATGCGGTACACGAACGCAAAAACAAACATGTACATTGGATTCATGGTCATACATCGAAAATGACAATCAACAAAGTGATTACAAAAAAAAATAATTTAGCTTGTGGCATATATCATAACATGTTTTATATGTTACCGGCGTAACCGTGTTACCATTAAACTAAGGTAGCTTAATTATGTCATCCAGTTTTGAAAATATATTTAAACCATGAAATGTATGTAGGTAATGACCACATAGGCCCCATAGAAGGCACATGGAGCGTGGATCGAACTTTTGACTTCTATCTCAACCAAGTTATCATCTTTTAACACCTTACAAATTTCAAATACGCCAATCTTGACCCAAACACTACCTGTACTGACCATTAAAACCTACTTTTTTGAACAAGTTTGTAAAAGAAATCATATTTCAACATGTAAACTACTGTTATACTTGGAATGGGGTCATAAGTATCTGTGGACCATACTAGTGTTATCGTCTTGTGTTTACTAGTATCCGGTCGTGCCTCACTGCGTTCATCTTTAGAACAAAGACTTCACATAATCTGACTACACGGGAGTCGAACCCGCGCCGGTAACAAGCATATCACTACGTGCACTTTGAACCAAATCCTTTATATACGCTAGCAATACTTCTTTTCTAATACGAGTAATCAAACTTTAACTTATTGCGATAGCAAACGATCCAGTGCCATCGATATTATCTAGACGGACCCCGGACGACTATAATTATGACAAGCTTATTCTTAATTTGACTGTTCCTTACCTAAACCGTCCTGATTATTTTCTGTACCATTGTCCGGGAACGATAGAAGACTATGTGACCAGGGATACTGCGCAGACCATTTCTGGCACGTGTACCCATCTATAGTGTGGTCAAGTGTTCCTCGGTAATCCCGTCCATCATTAAAGTTTCCTGGGATACATTTATCTGTTGAATGGAATGTTAACATAATTATACAGCATTTATTGTTGATATTAGGAGAGTGGCTTTAAAAATTGGTTTGATGTTTCTGTTTATAGAATAAGGAAATTACTTAATGCTTCAATAATGACTTCCACAAAATTTATTACTGAAAATTACATGTACCATAAAATGCATGGATCGTGCGCACGGATGTTTATCATAAATTATATTTCACAAAATATATCAGTACCAAACAACAACTAGTTATTTTTCTCTCTTTTTTTTTGGTTAGGTTTTAACGTCGCGCAAACACAGTATTGGTCATATGGCGACTTTACAGCTTTTCTGGTAGGGGGACGACCTGAGATGCTCTTCCGAGCAGAACCACCGACATTCCGTAAACTAACTGGATAGCTTCCTCACATGAAAGAATCCAAAGTCCTTGTCGGGATTCGAACACTCACCGCAGTGATGGGCATGTGGTATGAAGTCAACGACCTTAACCAACAGGCCACGGTTGTACCAACCTAATATTTAAATGATAAACCATGTATCATTTTGTTTATGTAGTGTTGCATTGTTATTGTGGGGCGGCAAGTGCATACCATGATGTTCAGTATTCTGTCCGTACTTAATTTTCAAATTTTCACTAAAATGATGTTTTTATCAACATTGAAACATGGACCAGTCCATTGAAAAATAGCATAATTATTCCTCCTATTCACATACGTTTGGCTCTCTGCTCACATATATAAGGGCATGCGTGAAACGCATCGATCCACACCCCTTGTCGATGTGACCGCCGTTTTCTCGTGCCATTCAGCAATGCAAACGAGCTATATGTTGCAGGATAGCTGTCATTCCAGTTTGTATAATTTATTTTGCCACCGACTTCCCCGGAATACCAGACAAAAGACCCGTTCACAATACGCTCACCCGTGCGCCATACTAGAAAGAAACAGTTTTTTTGATTAACTTGATCTTTTTTTATAAGTTATATAAAGAAGCTGTATTGTTTACGTGATTACAATAAACATCGTGACGATGACCCAAGTTGGGTTCGGACCCAGCGTCCTTGGGTAGATAGCGAATACCTTATATCACTAAGCATGTGTCCTCCGTTATATCGAGATGATAATGTATGCATTGATTACAAAAAACAAAAACAAATTTAACCAAAACATTATTAAACACGTTTTAACATCCCTTAAGAATAAGAAGAGACATAATGTGCCTTTAAAACTGCTGGAATTGAAAGTCATAAGCTTAAGCAACCAGTATAGAGCCAGACCACACTCCATATCCGTGTGGTCTGGCTATCGTACTTTTACAGATGTCCACAATGAATAAAGGGAAGTAACTGTGAGATTTTTCAAATACCTTTTATGTTTGGGTAAGCTCTCTTGATATACTGTTTTACATTGAATTCTTCTGTACCGTCTTGTGGAAGAACTAGTTTTGATTTCATTTCATCACATTTTGTTACTGCCCCAGCAAAAGTTTCAGCCTGTTTATCTTCAAATTTGTAACACTTTCTGCCGAGTTTAATCCAGTCTTTTGGACAATCTGAAATAGAAGAAACTTTGTCAAGTCATAAATTGAATCTGCTGCACAGTTAAAAGTTTCATCTTAATTAAACTAAGAACATAGATAGATTTATGATATAACTGTTATGTATCACACTTAGAGAAAAAATGCAGATGGACCGCGTAATAGTCTTTCCCATTCCGCAGCCTAGACGCTTAAAGATATTCCATATTGATAATATTGATAATTGCTACACAGTCTCTTTGTAAATATGAAATAAACATGTTTTGACTTCACACAAAGTTAATGTGTCATGTTTAAAAATCTACACACATAGGTCGTCACAATATGAATATATAGTGTCGTTAAAAAAACTGGCAGTTTTTTTTAAAGAAAAGAACAACTTTACTTGTCCTGTATTAGAGAATGTGACTTCCAATATAGTTTATTTTTCACATTTTTTATTTAAATTAGACATATTCAGTAAGAATTTCATAGGTTTTGATATTCCTTCGATTTAAATATTTTACTCAAAGATGAGCATAGTATATCTTTTCTTTCCTATTTAAACTATTCTATATTGTAACAAACGTAGTTACAATTTTCATTAGAAACAACACCTCTCCACAAATTCTACTTAACGTTTTGTGCATATTTAAAACCACATCGTATTTTGCGTTTTGTTGATGACATACATGTATTGAAAGTCTCCTTATTGAAACAGTTGTACATGTCTCTGAGTTGAGCAATGTCTATATTACTGAGAGCTACACGTTGTCCTATGGTCATCTTTAATGTTTTCCCGATGCCTTTTTTTTTTTTTTTTTTTTTTTTTTTTTTTTTTTTTTTTTTTTTTTTTTTTTTTTTTTTTTTTTTTTTTTTTTTTTTTTTTTTTTTTTTTTTTTTTTTTTTTTTTTTTTTTTTTTTTTTTTTTTTTTTTTTTTTTTTTTTTTTTTTTTTTTTTTTTTTTTTTTTTTTTTTTTTTTTTTTTTTTTTTTTTTTTTTTTTTTTTTTTTTTTGTTTCCTATACCTGAAATGACACGTGACAAGTAAATAATAGTATTAGGCCGCTATTCCATTTATACGTGATCAGTGGTCCGCGTCCGTCATCCGCATCCGTTACCGATTCGCTAATCAAAGAATACGTTGAATCTATTCCTTTTGTCCGTTTACCATCCGCTTCCGCGACGGCATCCGCGACATTTCGCAGGATGAGCGATTTTTTACGGACGCGGACAGTCACTGACATGTCTCATCCCTACAAAATGCCTCGAACGAAATTAAATACTTTATCGATTTCGAAAGAAAATACTAAAGAAGTCACCAAAATAGTGTAGGAGAACATATAAGTTTATGATGCAGCAATGACAGATTAAAAAAAACAACATCTGGTCATCGGTTGCTAAAGAGATGTTATTTGAAAACCTAACTGATATTCAATGTTTGTTACCTAATTCTTTGATGTTACAACTGTTTTTGGTATTAGAATGAAATTCTACAAATAATTATCCTCTGTTCGCTATACTTCAATTAAAAGTGTATAGAAAATAACGTACCTATGGAATAATACCCACAAACATGCACCAGACACGGATCACGGACGCGGACCACTGATCACGTATAAATGGAATAGCGGCCTTACAAGTAAAACATCCGTACATTTTACAGATAGACAGATAGATACTTTGTTAACTTGGCGCGAGTTTGGTTGATAGTAAAATAACCCAACGCCGCTTCGAGTACAATCCTTGTCTTTAGAAATAAGATAAAGATATTTTATTAGTAATGACTTAATTTTAAATCTTGTTGCAAAAGTAAATTACATTTAATACATACAGCAATTTTCCTTAAAGTTTTTAAAATGAAATAGGTGCGAGATTTACCTCCATATTGGGGTAATAACTCACCTGTATTGTGTCTTCTCCATATTTTGTGAAAGCCTTATTCCCATAATGCATTATACTCTGATAGTCGTATGGGAACCCTCGTGACGTCACGAGCATTTTGTTCGTCTGCTGAAAGTCTGGTATGTATTTTGGATCAATGTTTTCCTCTATAATTTGAATATATCCATCCCTGTCGGGTCGAGCCTGTAAATGATTGAAATGGACTGGTAACAAGTAAGACATTTAGACCCCTTGACTTCTCGACTGCTTAGGATATTAAGATGACTTCTAGACCCCTTGACTGTTAGACCCATTTTTACATGACTTTTCGACCCCTAGTCACAATTATAATTGATTTATAGAATAGGACACCGCCCTCCGTTTCCATTTATACACATTTTACATTATATATCTTTAGCTTATAGATAGTCGCCGTATGAACACATCTGCGGATGTTTCTAAATTAAAAAAATTCACCTTTTTCATGTTTAAATGTAGCCGGTGCTAGGGGCGTGGCCGGTAATTTTCACTTGACAGTATCTTCAATGAACTGGGTCAATTAAACCGAGCCTGCAACATTATCAATTTTACGTTTTGGACTTTCCTTGGGAATTCATAGTTTCTCTTTTTTAGATATCTATGACTTAAATCTCTAACTTATTAGATAAACCATTATCCTTCATAAATGAAATGACATGGTTCTTTCGTATACATTACCTGCTCGTGCCAGAAACCCAGCGCGTGCAATATTTCATGTATGGCTATTCCCAGACGTTCACACTCCGGTCCTATAGAAACCTTCTGCTCACCACCTACCCTACCAACTGCAGACCAACATCTGTACAAAACAATTACATTTTACAAGTTACTAATTTCAAAATGAAACTTCAATATCAATTAATAATTTCAAAATCAAACTTATTTATAATAAATAGGAAAGTATTATATGAATAATTAAACAATGAATTATTCTTCTGATTTTTTGAAAGGTATTCGTTAAAGAGTGGATATCAGATATTTTTTACGTGTCCACTTTAACTGAATTTTAATATACATATTAATATTATACCTGTCCAGTGAAATAAAACTTAACGTGATAAAACAAAAGTGGAAGGGGTTTACTTGATAATCTTTCTTTAAAGGAATGATTTGTTCTGATAGTTAAGGTTTCACTCAAAACTCGGTGATTGTAGGTTCGAGTCACGACCATGTTTCCAATGCATCAACAGTAGTGCAGTGGTCTGAATATGTTCCCACCTTTTATCACAATCGAGCTGTAACTTGTAAAACTGCCTTTGAACATTGCTTTTTTAAATATTTTAGTGTGTGAAGATTTACATGAGCCGTGTCACGACAAAACCAACATAATGGGTTTGCGACCAGCATGGATCCAGACCAGCCTGCGCATCCGAGCAGTCTGATCAAGACCCATGCTGTTCGCTATCAGTTTCTCTACTTGTAATAGAGTTGGAAAGCGAACAGCATGGATCCTGATCAGACTGCGCGGATGCGCAGGCTGGTCTGGATCCATGCTGGTCGCAAACCAATTATGTTGGTTTTGTCGTGACGCGGCTCACAAAATTGAATGTTGTTCCGATACATAATATTTGTTTTGTTTTTTTTGTTAAATTTTAAAAAAGGCCAAATAAAAAACAAAAGATAAGGTGAGATATACCCAGGTTCGCTTATAAATCTGATATAATCTTCGTCTCTTAAATGTCTCCTCTTAAAGCGTATACACGTCTCTCGTTCTATAGTTCTCATGGCCTGGCTAATTACTGATGCTGACAATGGCGCTACAAGATGAAGATTCATACAATATTCAATTCTTCTTTTCTAGTTTGAATATTTTATTTTGAGTTCATACTCATAGAACGGCAATATGTCATTATGAATCGTAGAATATCATCACATTAATTTAGCAGCATCGGAATGTTTCCGACGACAAACCGTCTGTATAAATGTCATTTGTATGACAACTTTTATAAACATTAAAGGTATCTGTTTGGCATAGTAACAGCAAGACCCTTGCTCATAAAGTATCTTAGAGCAAGTATGATAAGAATGTCAAGGAGTGGAATCTCGTGTCCAATTGTAACACGTTCTGACTAAAAGAAAAAAAAAACACGATCTAATCCTTATTTAACTTATAATACTTACCTGACTTTTGGGTGAGACTTAATAAACCGAGGTCCTTTAAATGTGGGTCATTACTTTTACTCTTTGCAATTAAAAGAACCAGTTTTTTTTCCTGCTGCAATGGTCTTTTTCTGTATCCATAGCAAATTGTTCCAAAATATGAAACTACTGGCATTTTCTGGTTTGAGATGGTTTTCAAATGGCGAAAATAAATAAAAGTTTATCTAAAAAAATACGACATTACCTATGTCACTCGCAAACATGTATGGCACAATCGCATTTCTCCAGGTCCGAGGATTCCGAGTAGTTGCTCTCTTATATCGTGCAGATGTCATGTTACTATAAATAACCTTTGCTAATTCCTTGTCCAATACAATATCACCGTTGTAAAACACGGAACCACCTGCAATAGACACAGGAAGTACATTTTGTTTAAGATAACTGGAAATAAATCGGAGAGGCTTGTACAGTTAAACAAAGGTGTTGAATAATGATACACTATTCATAAAGATGATATTTAATAGTCTGTACTTGAAAATCAGTACCTTTACGTTTAACACATTCGAAGTAATTCCTTGAAAGAACGCATAGACAGTGCACAGACAGTCTTGTTTCAATAGTTAGGAATGAAATATTTACCAGTGCCTTTTGGTCTTTGCTCTTCGTTTGCAATGCAGAGTGATGGGGGACAAATGTCTGAAAGCATTGACAAAGTTTTATTGCCAATAGATAGTTCATGAATCCATACAAACAATAATTCATAAAGGTGGAAAGCAAAAGAACACTAAACAATATACATTTCTAGTTGGAACAATGATTTATTTATATAGTTATATGTAATCATGAAAACCAAAGAAAACTTTATCTTGTATATAAATTTTTACAAAGTGGACAAAGGAAAATTAATTGAAAAATATATATTGAGTGATATATCTCAAACATATTATCTACAGTTAAGATGAAGGAAATAAAACAAAGAGGACCGCAATATCATATGTCTTTTTCTAAAAATAGTATAACGTGTAATAATATGTTTTCACAGGATGGTATGTCATATTATATTCCATAAATGTGACTTTAAATATAACCCCTAAAGGGCGTGTCCATCTTTTATCCTTTACAAAAACCAATCAAATCATGTATTGACTGAACGAACCAATCTGACGGGCATGAAATGTCATTATTTTTTGAATGCATTTGTATTTATTTTGAAGACTTATAAATGAATTAATTTTTGTCAAAACACAATATCATACATATACATGTAATTGCAGTGAATTTACATTAAACTAATTAATTTAAACAGGTGGATCACGAACATTGTCAGGTTAAAGTATACAACGTATTTAACATATTACTCACTCCTACAACATTTTCAGTGTCATTAATCATTGTTTAAATTTAACTTATATCTTGATAATGAAATTAATACAGTACACTTGCAAAATGTATTGTTCAAATAAATCACATTATTGGCGTCCTTTTTCAGAATTTTACCATATAATTGTGTTAAGAGTAAATACTAGTCCTCTACTATTTTGACATACCAACACATTTAAAAAACATATAGATTGATAACAATTAACAATTAGTTTGTTGTCGGTGACAGAATCTTCCCACGCGACTGGTGCAGATCCAGGTCAGTCGGCACATCCGCGGCGCAGACCCAGGTCAGTCGGCACATCCGCGGCGCAGGTCCAGGTCAGTCGGCACATCCGCGGCGCAGATCCAGGTCAGTCGGCACATCCGCGGCGCAGACCCAAGTCAGTCGGCACATCCGCGGCGCAGATCCAGGTCAGTCGGCACATCCGCGGCGCAGACCCAGGTCAGTCGGCACATCCGCGGCGCGCGACCCAGGTCAGTCGGCACATCCGCGGCGCAGACCCAGGTCAGTCGGCACATCCGCGGCGCAGATCCAGGTCAGTCGGCACATCCGCGGCGCAGACCCAGGTCAGTCGGCACATCCGCGGCGCAGACCCAGGTCAGTCGGCACATCCGCGGCGCAGACCCAGGTCAGTCGGCACATCCGCGGTGCAGACCTAGGTCAGTCGGCACATCCGTGGCGCAGACCCAGGTCAGTCGGCACATCCGCGGCGCAGACCCAGGTCAGTCGGCACATCCGTGTTGCCGACCAAGATCAGCCGACACAGCCATGCCGTCAGCTCATAGCTATTCAATCAATACTTGTGTCATAATTTTCCTTAAATTTGATAAATAGTTTTGTCCAGGTTAAAAGATTGGTACGTTTAAGAAATTTAGCGTGATTAGGAATAATAAAGTTCATACTGTAGTTCAGCTCCCATGGTTCTCTATATCTTTTGGTGGTATTCCTAGATGTGCTGCTATTACTTGTAACTTGGTCCGACTTGTCAACACCATTGACTACATCTTGCTCTATGCCACCCCTAGTCTTCTTTGTGCGTTCTAAAGCACCAATATCGGTTGTGTTCGATTTATTTACATTTCCAATATTGTTTTTACCGCAACTTATCTTTTCTGTGGTTGTTGATTTTGTTGTTGTTGTTGTTGTTGTTGTTGTTATTGAAGTTGTTGTCGGCGTCGTCGGTGTAATTGCTGCCGGAATATGCTTACCATTAGCTACTCCTGATTGTGTCACTATTAGATATAAACTCAAGTGAATAAACAAGCTTCCACAATCCATCTTAATGCTGTGAATATATAGTATATTCCCAAGATATCATAGACTGTTACATGTACCTATACATAAAACGCACATTTTGTGACATCACAACTCAACAACGTTTAACGTAATAAAATCATAACTGATAAAAAGACACATATTTTGAAGCAGTTTTAAGATTTGCTTATATTTAGAACATAATGATATAAATCCACACCGTTTTGTCACAAGATTACAACAATTATGCTGTGGGCAGAGACACAACTTTTCTTTCCTCATGATGATTGATTATAATTAATTAATTATCTCGACATTCAGACAAAGTTTAAATGCATTAACATACAAATTGTTAACACTTCAGTAAGATATTTGATAATCTAAGTTGTTGATTTTTTTCTCACAATTTGCCAAGCCAACTGAATCGTTGAAATCTATTTTTCTTTTATGATTTTATGAACTGTCCGGTAATTGGAACAAATGTCAGATATTCTACCGGCATATTTTTTTTTCCGGACGAAATCCGTCTGTTATAAGTTTGTCTTTATGGAAGGACTGAATATGACAAGAATTTTGATTGGTCATTTTAAAATTACCAACTGAAGTCGGTGAATCTCATTGGTCATTTGAAAATAAAAAAGGACAGTTCTAACCATTTTAAAATAAAATATAAAGGATAGTTCTGACCATTTCAATTTTTTTTAATTTGCTCTAAGATAAAATGTAAGGGATAGTTTTGCCAATATGAAATAAAATGTAAAGGATAATTCTAAAATAAAATGTCCAGAAATGAGTGTAATTCTTTAACTTTTAGATTAATTTGTATATGATTACAAAATTTATAAAGTCAAACGTAAAAAAAGCTAATGGGACACCTAAAATAGAAGTTGTCCTACTTTGAAAAATCATCAATATCAATATGCTATAATTTAATTTCAGTGTTTACAAATGGATATTTTCTTAGCTACAAGAAATGATTATTATGTCATTATTATGCAAGCATTGCTAACATTTCTTCTTGTATTGAAAACTTAGAAATAACATAATTTTGCATGTTTACCAGTTTTAGTTCGGCCTAGTATCTTTTTTGAAAGATACTTCTTGTACCTGAGGTTTGTTTATATGGTATACATTGTATCTTTAAAGCGGATTGATCTAAAAAAGAACATTTAAGTATTTAAAGTATTTAAAATATTGATAAAACGATAAAAATGTATCCTGTAAGCAAGAACATGTAACACTTTATTAAGTTAGGGTATTTTGCGGCCATTCTATACAGTTTGAAAAACCGTTTTTAAGTCTCTTAGTTACAGGAAGAAATATCATTCAAAATGTTGTAATTACAATGCTATAGTAATATTTCTAAAATGTTAATTAAGTCCTCTTATCTAAACTTGACGTGCTTTAACCTTTTTCATTACAATGGCTTCTAAGATAAATAATAAGTTTTATTATGTATAATATTCGCCCTGAGCAGGCTTAACGCAAAAAAGTATTTTCCGTTAACCGCTCGCTTCTCAAAAAACAATAACAACAATATTTGACACGTTTTTTTCATTGATTCTCTTTAAATTTCTAATCCGATGACAATCCTTGATATATTGATAAGTACCGTTTATCAGAAAATGATGGTCGTGTGCGAAAATATACAATATCTTTTATTCTTAATACATAATAAAATTTTTAAATGATCCACACGCGATTATTCCCGCTTTGTGCCCGTAATCTTTAACGTCGGATTAGGTATAAAAGCCTTATAGCCGTAGGAAAAACGACAGTTTTAATCATTTAAACTGGACAATATCCGATTATATCGATATTCGGCCATTCTAAAAAAGCTTATTTCCGATATTTTATTTTAGTGTGGAAGAAAAATAGTTTCAAGAAAGTTTGTGTACGGAAATCGGTCGAAAAATGGGATATAAGAGAATTTCTGTACAAAGATTTATAAAATTTGGAATACTTCTTATATCGTTGGTAGTACTTGTACATGTATTGACATTATTTCATATGAATTCTGTAAGTTTGAAAAGTGACCGGTCCGAGTATGTGAAATATATTGAACAGGGGCTACATAATAGAAAACCAAGGAATGTAAATACAAAGTATAAAGTTTTATTCTGGTTACCGTTCAATAATAAGAACCAGATGAAATACGAAAGCACGTGTATGCAACGGTGTCCTGTGAAATGTGAGCTGACGAGCAATAAAGAGGACATAAGTCAAGTTGATATGGTTAATTTTCACTTAACTGATTTATGGACAGAAATCTGGAAAATAAATACTAAATCGATAATTCAGTTTCCATCTTATCGTAGACCGGACCAAATATGGATGCTTACAAATCGGGAACCTCCGCCAAACCTGTACGGAAATCTCCGAGTGTTCAACGGAATTTTTAATTGGACGTTATGGTACCGGAAAGATGCGACACTTCATTTACCGTACGGATATGCAACAAGTTTAGATGAAAATGAAGCAGTCGTAGAAAGGTCTAGAAATTATTATAAAGAAAAGTCAAGGGAAGTAACTGGTGTGATAAGTAATTGTAAAGATACAAATAGACGTTATAGATTTATCAAAGAATTGAGTAAATATTTAGATATAACAATGTTTGGATATTGTTATAATAATGTATGTGGCGATAGGATGAAGCATGCGTCCTGTGATAATGTTACTAGGCAATATAAATTCTACCTATCATTTGAGAATTCTAAATGTAAAGATTATGTTTCTGAAAAATACTGGCAGGCATTACACCGAGGACAAATTCCCATTGTTAACTGGGACCTGAGTACGATAAATAAAGATATTCCAATTCCAGGATCATATATAAGCGTCTCTGATTTTAAAGACGTCCAGACGCTTGCAAATCATATAAAGCGCGTGAGTGTTAATGAAACGCTTTATAATAGTTATTTGAGCTGGAGAAGAAGATATAAGGTTGGGAAAAGCTGTATATCATGTATTGCATGTAAGGCCTTGCACGAAGCTAGACCTCCACAAGTTATAGACGACCTGGATGGATGGGTTCAAGACGACACTTGTAAAAAAGTGGACGTAAGTATTTTGTTCTTTATGTACTATTTTATTTGATAGTTGAGTGACACCATATATTTTTTAATTGTAAAATGGAGAATAAATTATTGTTTAACTGTAGTTAGTTTTACATAATTAAGTTATATTGTCAGATTAGTATTTTAACATCAAAGTCATTTAAACGTGTATGTTTTATGTATTTGCAGGGCTGGAACAACTATATAACACAATGGGACGAATATCTTTTCTGGAAGCTTGGTATTTAATGATAAAAGAAATGCCTAAGTATATAACTTTACTAGAGATGAAGTTAGATCATGGTTTGTTGCTTTCAGTTTGTTCGTGGGTAAACATAATGACAATATATTTTTAATAATACACAAAACACGACCCCATAGTTTGGCACACACATTGTCGACAACAATTAGACGGAACTTGTTTCTCGGGAGAAATTCAAAACCTACATAAACGAGTTGCTACTACCCGTATCATGGCAGTGATAAACATTTGTGATTTGTCCAAGAAGAAGAAAAGCAGTGATAAGCATATTATGACTTACCGTTCAAAAGTTAGATAACATTACATCATGAAGTATGGTTTTCACAAATGGAAGAAACATTACGTTTTGACATGATTGTAGTAATACACATGTCTGACTTGTGTAAACAAAATGATCACGTGACTAGTGTATATGCAATTTTATAGGAGCCGCCAAAATACACGTTAAAATTTTTAATTTGCATTCAGTTTACTATTCTGTTCCAATTCCGTTTCGAAATAGTTTTAAATCTATTGTATTATTATTACAAGTGAAAGAAAATGCTTGAGACATTCAAAAAGGTAATAAAGATTCAAAATGGACTACACATGTATACGTTAATAAATATTCCGACAGTCGTAACATTTATTACAGTCAAATGGGCTTTTGTTATTAAAATTCAGTCCAATATAATGTTTGAAATCTGGCATTTTTAACATCTGACATGCGTGTCGTAATGACTGAATTCTGAATTTGTTTAAAGCCTAACACGTATGCTATTAAAATTCGAGCGTTTTGTGATTGTCATGTAAATCGCGTGTCTTTCTTAGAGATGTACCTGAGACGAATAAGTCCTAAAAGAAATTCGACATGTATATATTCTATGCTTAATTATGTCCATCCACCCTGTCAGGGTATGAGAGTACGGACCACGGACATATCACCATTCTTGTCCTTTAGGAAATCGGCGTTAACCTAAGATGCTTATAAAGGAACACCTGTTTTTAACACATGCAATTAAATGCTCATTTATTAATTGGTTAACAGTCCTTTTCCAATTACCATGTTCTGAAATGTACTGTAGTACAATTATCTTAAGCAAAATTACAATGTACATGTACATATAAAAAAGTTAGATCAAAAGTTATACCAACATATTCTAGGGTTCTTCTTGATATGTCAAATACCATATACAGTATGTAATTTACGGACGAGATGAGTTTTTACAAATTCCCGTCTCAAATAACGGAAAACTACGAAAGTTCGGCAGACTTTATATATCTGATTATCTTTGACTTTAAATTAAACACCAACACATTTTAAAATTTAACAATTTTAATTGTTAACATTACACATACATAGTATGTTTATAATTATGAGGTAAAACATTAAATTTAATTACTGCATTCATGTATTAACATTGCAGAATTATCCCAAGTCAATATTTTGAACTATTTCATTCAATATTACAAACATTACATTCCATATAAACGTCTAATATGTGATTAAGTACTTGGCGTATGAAAATATTTAGTTCGGTATTTTGAACTATTGCATTCAATATCATAAACTACATGTATTTGATTCATAATTACATTTTTGACGTATACCATTTGATTAAGTACAGTTCCATATAACATTTTGAACTATCTAAGTCAAGGTTTTGAACTAGTTGATTCAAAAATAGAGAATTTCCATTTTTTCCATTTGATTCGGTGCTACTTTATTAACTATTTTAAATTATTTGAATATAATCAATGAATACACATGAAGTACCATACTATAAGTTGATAAAGATGAAATAAATATATAGGGCATATGTTCACACTGATGGTCCGATAATGACCATATCAACTCATGACAACTTTCAATGATTAATAAAACAACAAATGAGCTGCGTCTAGAAATTTTGATCCTTTTCGTTTGGTGGCGGACTTGTGTCATATCGTTCTTTCGTCTTTCGCTCCGTAGAACGCCAGACGAATTAAGAAAACACGACAAAGTCATCACTTACAAAATGATGATTTGTAACGACACAATGGTACATTTATTGTTGTAAGCCTCAAATTAAGATGGGAAGTAACACAGAAACAATGACGTCAATTTTGCTGACATCACTTCTTACTCTTATAACCAGGACCAAAATCGCTCCAGACATCGTTTTTAAAAAGAATATGAATGGTATGAAGACTTCTTAACATACTGGCCTTAATTATTTCAAATATGAGTATTGACAAAATATGTACTAAGTGCAGTAATGGATTAATTCCTTCGAAAATTGATAGGAGTTAACCAGTAATTGCACTAAGAAGACGCAAAGAACTTATTTTGATAATGATAATATTTCTTTTGTAAACTATGCTAATCATACTCTCAAAACATTCTATGAACCTCATTAAATCTTTCTTCAAACACTTTATCTGGATTTTTTTTATCAAAACCGTTTATTTTAGTCACTTATGCTTTAAATGGAATTTTCTAGTAAACTTTTGTTATCAATTTCTTTCTCCTTTCCGCTGATTTTTACGCCGTCTGGTCTTTCTGTTTGAACTCCGCCTTGATCCTTTCCGTCCGTTGGTCTTTTCATTGGCCGAATCTTTGTTTGCCTTCTCGTCACCTTTATTTCCTCTCCGGTTATTTTTCTTTCCATTAGAATGTCCACTTCTCCCGTTCGTAAGATCCCTTGTTTGAGGTAGATTGTTTGTTCTTCTATTGGAATTATTTTGTTTTTTGTTTGTATTATTGTTCACATTCCTATCATTTTGTTCTTGTTTTACTGAATCTTTCTTTCCGGTATTTGTTTTATTGTTATTCCGTTTTGGATTAGTCGAATTATTTTTATTATTATTTCTCTTTGGGTTAGATTTCTTGTCGTTTCGTTTTAAATCTGTGCTGTTTTCCTTCTTTGAGCATATACTAACATCACAGTATTGCCATTTATATTTACTTTTAGTGGTGTAACACCATGGCCTACTTTTTCTATCTCCCGATGGATTTCTGCAGAAATTGTGATCCCCTGAAAACATACAAACTGGTATAAGTTTCAAGAAGATGCGTCACAGTAATGTCTATGTTAGTGTAAAAGTTTTAAAGTGCAGTCCTTAAGATAGTGGACACTCTAGATATTTAGGGTAATGACAGAAAATGTCATAATAACCATTATGAATGTAGATGTAAAATATCACTTTTCAATCGATGATAATTCGCCTTATTTTCAAGAGTTTTTTTTTACTGTAAGCAATAGCTTAATAAACGTCACCGTTTAAGTTACGGTTATCAACAGACTTTTATTTTGGGCTTTTTCCCTGTTCACCCGGAGGTACAAACAAATATTTACAGTTACAGCTTCGAAAATAAGCGCAACAGGTTGACTTATCTATTGTGAACAGTTGTGAACCGTGACGCTGTAACGGTCAAAGTTTATTTGGCTTAGGTTGGAAACCCCCTCAATTGCTTAGTTCTGTTCTGTTATGTTCTATTATAAGAGAAAACGTTAGCATACGTACCAATACCATCTTCTTTATTTTCTTTATCGTCGTACGGGAAAGGTAGCAGCTGATGTGTCCAGGGATATTGCTTTGACCATTTCTGGCACGTGTGTCCATCTATAGTGTGGTCAAGCGTTCCCCGATAATCACGTCCGTCAGAATAATTTCCAGGGATACATTTCCCTAAAAATATGTGAAAGAATAATATATTTAAAAGTGAAACAGCACAAACAGATAAGAAAGTTGAAAATAATACAATTAATGTATTTTTTTTGTAAAGAAAGCTGGTTTTCTTGGCGCACTTTAGCCTTTTGTGCCATACAGAAACTTTAACCCGATAGGACTCAAACTGACGATACTATCAAAACATTAGGAAGTTTATCTATGGAAGATGTTCAAATTTATGATGTTTTGTATTTTGGACATCATTGGAGCGGACAACAGAGATACAGAAGGATATTATCTGCAAAAAGATGGAATAAAATTAATTCTAAAAATGTATTGATATGATTGTAGTTATGAGGTATATTAATGAAATTACCATTGTCAAACGATACTTACGTCTAGCTCTTCGTTCACATATAAAGGGGTATGCATGTTCCGGCAACTGATTATAGGATCCTAGCCACACCCCTTCCCAACGGACCCTGTCTTTCTTTCTATTATATACCAGGGCCATAGAGCTGAATGACGAGGGATGACCTTTCTTCCAGTTGGTGTATTTCATCTCCTCAACGCTGTTATCGGTGTACCAGACAAAAGTTCCGTTTACAACTCGTCCCCCTGTCCGCCATGCTGGAAAATCAATTTGCAATTAATTGGATTATGTAACTAAATACTTGTTTAAGTAATAGTAATAATCAATTTCCTAAAGAACTGTGTTGAAAGTTCAAAATAACCATATATAGATTACTATCCAATATCCATTATTATAATTCTTTCTATAACAGCCTTATTTCTAACATAACTTAAAATACCCTTGCTGTTGCTTTGAGTTCTTGAACATAAATAAGTTAATGCATATATATATATATAGCGATTTTCTGTAATTGTATAAAATAAACAAAACTCTGAATTTATTTTCATTTAAATTTTTGATCTCTTAGCATGAATAAATGATGCATCACAAAGTAACTACATTTTGTAAATAGGACTCACATTAAGGGAGACTACTACAAAGTAAAACACTAACCTTTTACTTCCGGGTATTTTCTCTTGATATAACGCTTGATGTAAGCGTCTTCCGTGGCATCATCTATAAATAGTAACCTGGAATTCATCTGGTCACATTTCTTAACGGCTCCAGAAAACTGTTCCGCCTGTTTGTCTTCAAATTTGTAACATTTTCTACCAATTTTAATCCAGTCTTTCGGGCAGTCTGAAACAATTAACAATATGTTTGAAACTGAGTTGTTATTAATTGTCCATATTGTTAATATAAAACCTGTTAAAAACGGAGTAGATTTTTTTTTACTGAATTGGATTCTTACGTATGCCATAAAAGCTTTTAATGTCGAAAATCAATATGCTAATTTATAAAACAATGCGAATTTCAACAGTTCTAGTCCCTCTTGTTCTCTTTGTCAGCTTATAGTTTCAGGTAATAATAAGTTTGTGTAACTTACTTGTTTCTAGATTATCTTGTTTGTCGTTACATTTGTACATATCTTTAAGTTGTGCTATATCTATATTACTGAGAGCATCACGTTGTCCTATCTTCATCTTTAACTTTCTGCCAACACCTATCACCTGAAATCATGTACAAAATATACATGTATAATTAGAAACTATAGAAAATGTACATGCATTGCTAGCAACAAAGATACAAACTGTACATGTATTGCTAGAAACGTTAAATGTGTAAATGAATTGTTTGACACGATACAAAATGTACATAGCATGCTTGGTAATCAGTCCTTCGAATTCTAACGGCACAATAATATATGGCAGAAATATAGGTGAAAGTCAGCTTGATCAATCATGCAAATGTTACAATGCCCTATGCTGAAGGCTCCATCTTTGCATTTTGATACTGAAACTCTTATAATAACAATGGTAAATTCTAAATTCAATGATGCGGTCAAGTTCATTATAGATTTATGGGGCATGAATGGATGATTTGTGACATAAATAACGAAGAAAGAAAATTTTAACAAACCTTTTTATATGACTGGGAATAAATGTAAGGGGCAGTTTAATTCTTTGATACGTTACGGCATAATTGTGATGGAGTCGTTTAAATATGACAATTATATCAAATATAGCAGACGACATTGACAAAAAGCTTCATATGACATACGTCAGGCAGAAATCATATGAGCCGCGTCACGACAAAACCAACATAATGGGTTTGCGACCAGCATGGATCCAGACCAGCCTGCGCATCCGCGCAGTCTGATCAGGATCCATGCTGTTCGCTATCAGTTTCTCTACTTGTTATAGAGTTGGTAAGCGAACAACATGGATCCGCACAGGCTGGTCTGGATGCATGTTGGTCGCAAACCCATTATGTTGGTTTTGTCGTGCTGCGGCTCATATGTATATGTTTAAAAATAGTTAACATTCGTTGTATAAACAACGTTGAAACACTCTGAGTTTTCTTTATACAAATGTAATTTTACAAAACTATAGTGTGTATTGTTCTCATTTAAAGATACATACTGTACAAGTTTTGAATAAGGAAATCAGTTTATAATGCATAAAAAGTTGAACTAGGCAAAGCTAATGTGTATAATCTCGGAAAGATCCGTGGACATAATGGAAGACACCAAAGTACCATCACATGAACATTTGACGTGTAATGTTATTAAATTGCATCGTATGAATTGCGAAATATTCTTTTACCGCCATAAAACTATTTCAATTCTACGTGTGGGTTTTACTGCATGCTTGAGGTGGTGAATTACAATGACTAAATCGGACATTGTGGTGAGCAACTCTTGCGCCTGTAAGCTTTTGATGATTTATTTTAATTGTTTAGTTTCAACACTTGTATAGGGAAATTACTGTATAGCCTGAAGTGTATCGGCATTCATGAAACTAAAGATGTCTTTAATCATTTCGTATAGTCACCCATAATAATGAATGATGAATAAAAGTTGTGACAAAAACGTAGTGACCAAAACATCGCGATATTAATTAATTCAAAATTACATGGGATCGGTTACTAAGCATCCGTCTTTCAACTAAGGGACTGCCAGTTCGAGCATCAATAAATTTCGTTTGGCTCTTAGTCAAAGGACAGTAATGACCTAGTGGTAAACTGGCTAGGTTAGTGGTCACAACCGTGTTATCATGTACTGGCTAGTTCCAGGATGCGGACTAGGAAGTGATTAATATAAGTTACAAGAACTTGTTTTACAAGCGAGCTTAAATAAATATGTTTATATCTATAAGTCATGGAAGGGGAGTCATATGAATGTGTCGTCTGTGTGGTCATTTAGTGTAGCAGTACTATGACTTTGTACCCTCTGCCTGACAAGTTCGCTTAGTTCGAGGAACGTTAATAGAGACGCTTAATTAAATACATTCGAAGGAACAGATTTGCTTTCTGAAAATATACCTTTATTGTATCATCCCCGAGGTTTGTGAATGCTTTCTTACTATAGTGCATAACGCTCTCGTAATCATAAGGAAACCCTCGTGACGTCACGAGAGTCGTGTTGGCCTTGGCGAAATCTGGCAAATATCTTGGCGAAATGTTCTCTGATAAAATCCGTACATAGTCGTCCCGGTCCGGTCTGGCCTGTTAAAATGAACATGTTTGAATTGAATATGATAATGACTCAAAGAAAAAGTTATTTCAATATTAATGTTTTATATAATATGAAAAGAAACTTTTTGATTATGTACAATACACAGAAATGCAAATTATAAAGATAGTAGTTGAAACTAAAAATTATATCATGATGACACAATGTAGTACTCAAATATGAAAGTTAAGGGAAGGTTAAGAGTAATTACATACACCCAACAAACAGTGGTTTTTATTTAAGTGTTCTCATACCTGTTCATGCCAAAATCCGAGTGCATGTGAAATCTCGTGTATTGCAGTACCTATCCTCTCGCACCCGAGACCTATGGAGACTTTCTGTTCACCTCCTACACGGCCCACACTCGACCAACACCTGGTTGTTAAAACATAAAAAAGCTCATGTTAAACCATAAACGATTTCTTAACGTAATATAGCTTCAATAAATGTTGCCTTGTTTCCCATTTTTAGACTTTTTCTTCTAATGAATATTGCTGATATAGTCCCCTCCTTATATAATACATGTAATACATCATGACGTCATTATTATAGTAGACACGCGCCATTAACTATACAGCAATATAAAACATTATACCCTATAAATCATGCTTAATTATGTATATAATAATGTAAACTTGTAAATATGTCACGAACTAGTGGTTCTTTTCAATAAAAGATAGAGGCATCAGAGCTTAAAATTTAAATAGAAGGTTATGAAAATAGTATTGTTAAGATTGACAATGGGCAATTTTTTTCTTACACTGATGCTCAAAGATGAAGAGATAATTGTCTTCAGAAAAAGTAATAGGTTGACAGATGCTACATTTTTACCATCGTCGGATACCCACGACCGAACCTTAACATTCATCATTTATGTTAACATGATAAATGTTAATCAACAGTAAGTATCCGGTGATGCACTTTTATATTATCTCTTCTGAACGGACTCTGCAATTTTCATAATTATAATATAGATGATTTCATGGCTTTCGAGAGCTCACCCCTTATCCAGATGTTTGTCTTACCAAATTTTGTAGCTTTAAAAATGTAAGCTTTTCATCTGAGAAAAATATATGTATTGGTAAGCTTACCCGGGTTCACTTATAAATCTAACATAGTCTTCGTCCCTCAACTTCCTTTTCTTAAATCGGATACATGTTTCCTTCTCTATTGTCCTCATTGCCTTTCTGATCACTGACCTTGACTTTGATGCTACAAACAATACAGTAATGATGAGACTATAAAATTGTTACATATATAATTCATTATTATTGCAATATCATTCTCTTGTAGTCAACATCATTTCATATGCTACAGTAAATGAATTTTCGAGTGCACATGATTTTTACTTGTTTAACAGAACAGAACAGAACTTTAATTTCTTTGATTTTTACATAAAACATAATCATATACAGCATATAATTGTAACAAGCGATGAGTCAATGCAAAAATATATGCAATAATATAACCATAGTTATTATCAAGACATAAACAGATTAACCATATTTTCTGCAAGTAAATGCCATCTTGTTTACATATTCAATCATTTGTCATAATTATAGAAGACATAATTTATAAGATATGTCATTAAGCAGATGCCAAACAAGTAGTTATAGAAAGATGGGTGTCGTGCCTTGCTCCTGAATTTGAGGTCCTGATTATTTAGTGTGAGCTGACAGACAGGGAATCGATCATTTATCAATTGAAAGGCAATCAAAAGAAATATCTATGAACAAACATACCTATATCACTGGCAAACATGTACGGTACTGTAGCATTCCGCCATGTCCGAGAACTCCGCATAGTGGCCCTCTTATACCGCATACGTATACTGTTACCATAGATTATTTTCTCTGATTCATTATCTAATATAATATCACCATTATAAAATACTGAACCACCTGTAAAATATAAAGACATTTTCAGCAATCTACATTACAAAACCGCTTGAAAGTATAATTTTAAGTATAATTTAGCGTTATTGAAAACACGGGCCATGACGAATTTAGATCTTGCATACTTTTTATCACTTTAATCATTATTGTAAGCTTTTTTTCTGTTAATGTAGGAAGAAGTAAGTATAAGATATCGTCAGTAGTAACCAACTCGAGATTGTATTACAATATAATCCTACAATGTATATAAGTAAATATCACTATAACGATATCGCTTATAACGATTTACCGGATATAACGATATACTGCTTATAACGATATACCGTTTATAACGATGCTGTTGCCTCGTTTTCAAATTGGTTGCCTCTCGGATATAATGATATCTGGATATAACGATATAAATTCGACGGTTCCCTAAATATCGTTAAAAGTGAAGTTTATTTTTATTTCGTTTATTGTACGATGATTGTACGGCACAAAATCAAGTGTTCGCACATTTCTTTATAAATGTCACCGGTCACCCATATAGATTCTTTAATAAGGGAATCTTTGGTAATTGTGCAGATTGAAATTATTAGGTCTTTCAGATTTCTTAAAAATCGTATGTTTTGAACATGAAGAGGATCGAACAGTTTTCTCTGAACGCACACAGCGTTACCCAAACTCCTCACAGTGATTACCTCCCTTGGCAGAATTGTAATCACTGCCTTCAAAGACGTCACATGATGATGAAAGTCACATGACGTAACGTCGAAATTCAAATGTAAATATCGACCGTTACATAGAAAATCTAACGTCATTTTTCTCTTTCTGTTTTATTTTTAACTTTTAGTGCCTACGTTCGATATAGTTTATCAAAAAATTATCAAAAGTGTACAAAATAACGAAAAATAAATTCAAAAGCTAAAAAATATAAAATATCAAAATATTATCTCGGTAGAAAATATTCTCATAATTTTAAAATTATTTCTAAATATTCATATCATTTATTTATTTATCCATAAACATTGTTTAATCAATGAGAAAAAACTTAACTGATAGATAAAAGCAGTAAATAAAACAATTTTTGAAAAAAATATAGTATATCAGAAATTCTGATATATCGGGACCTTGGTGGCAGAGATCTATGCCGAAGAATTAAGGGGAGATCACTGCGTGGAGATTGAGCGTTACCATGTAAGAATATTTCAAACTCCAAGTATTGAATGTTTATTGTTACATTGTTACATTTTTGTTTCTTTAAGTAACTCGACTTTTTAAATTTTTTTTACATTTGGCATATGTCGGATCACCAGTTTTCTAATTGCTTACCCATGACTAAGATATCGCTATGAAATGTTACTATTTTTCTACTTGACAACCTTAATAATAGATATTCTAATTTTTGAAAAGAATTCTGATTATAAGGCGACTAAAGAAGTAATTTATAGATATAATTCGAGTTTTTATAAACTTTTTTTATCTTGAAAGTATTTGAAAGTAAACAGTATCATGCTTAAAAATCATTTTCGTGGAAATTCTATTTAAGAATGAGTCTTTAAAGATATAGAATACGTGTACAGAAATAATTATACGGAAAAATAAAATTGAAGTGATTACCTGTACCACGTGGTCTTTGTTCCTCATTTGCTGTACATATTGATGGTGGACACACATCTGAAAATAACAATATATTTAACAGTAAAGACATTTTTGTTCCGATATTAATCTAATTTAACTCACTAATATATTATTATATAGTCCATCACTTATTCGACATTTAAAAGTTTTGAATCACATCGGTTCAATATATAGGAAACGGTGCGCCGCGGGTGGCAAAAGGACTGCGGTTGTAAATACTTTTTAAAGTAAAAGTTACCTATTACTAATAGTCAAATTATATTCATTATAAAGGGAAAGGTACTTTATGGCATAATTTTGTTTTGATGCTAGTTGATGTCATCGGGTACGATAAGTATAATTATACGTTTTTACAGTTGTTAGAATTTATAATCATAAAAAGGATTAATTCATGTAAACAAGATATATTGATGAAAATAAAAGTTTATCAACTAATCTGTATTAATCTTATTACCACCTAGAAGGCAATCGCAAAACCGCAAAATGTTCGCATCAATGGAAAATGCAATAATGAACCAATTTGCTCGTATTTTTTCAGATCCATAACAATTTTATAACACTTAATATGTATTTTATCAGTACTTCGCGTAACAGATAATAATTAAATTCAATTAACTTTTATTTCATCAATGTTTACGTAAGTTCAATACTATTAATATTCAATCGTGACATCAAGCTTATCAAAGCGTTTATTTCCAAATTACTCACGCTTTTTGTATTCTTCGACATAAAAAAGAAGAACCAACTGGTCGAATAATAATAATAATAATAATAATAATAATAATAATAATAATAAGGAAATAGAGAGAGTTGTAGGAAATGGTCTAGTGTCCGCTCGTCAAATTGTATTTCATTTGTATCTCGTCTGAAAGTATCTTTGATTTTGTCGTGCAATTATAAATGTTAATTATTGTAATTTGATCATGCTGGTCTTAGAAGATATACACATATTTGGCGTCTAACACATTGTTGAAAAAATCCGCTATTTATGAAAATGAACTGTATGAATGCCCATTTATTATGCATAATAGCATGCTATATTCTGCAGGGTCAATAGGTACAAAAAACAAGTAATCTTTTGCCGTAATCTATCATTTATATACAAGCACTTTTAATCTTATGTCTTAGATATTTGTCGGGATAAAGTGACACGCAAGTTTTAAAAAATAAAGTTATTCACAGCAGATTAATGACGTCAGGAAGATATTAAAAAAAAAAACTTCAAAAAATGATGACAGCGTGTGGTATTGTTTGGTATCATAATTACTTCCGGTACGGACATGTAGTGAGTAATGATTAGTTTTTTAATAACGTTTTCTGTTTACAAACATTTAACAATATATAAGTGTAAACCGCAGAGTTATAAAAATGGATCTTAAAATCTAAATTTTGTATCCAGCGGTTTTTAGATTGACATCAGAGATCGTGTAAGATTTCAGTCCCAGTTACCTTAACTTTATAACGATTTATCTTTGCTAAAACTAAGAACAATTATTACTTTAACACTTACATAGTTAGGATTTTCTGCTGTGAAGAAGTCCTACCGTCTTACTTTGTTTGTAATTGTGTTTTAGTCAAACTAACACTCTAATGGTAATATGTCGACTGTCCAGCTTTACTGTTGAGGAAGACCTCAGGTGCCAACTCCGTGCATCATTTCAGGCACGAGCCGGCACCTGATCATGAGTAGAACCACCAGCTGGATAGCTTCCGTACATTAGAAGAGTTCAAAGTCTTTGGTGGGATTTGAACTTTCACTCCGATCGGTTTGTCAGAAATATGTAATGATTTTAATGTATTTTTGTCTTTCTAATTATGCTGAAGGCGGAGATATTTAGAACATATAGTATATATCTAGGAATTAAAACAAACATAACCAGACAGGTATTATAAATATAAGAGATTGCTTTGGCAATGTGTTTCTTAGGTATTATAATCTCGATATAAACTTTCCTACTGACCTAGAAGTTTGAACTACATAAGTTCAACCAAGAAAAGTTAAAAATTACTCTATGAACGGGATAGTTCATGTAAAACGTTATTTGTTATCATTGTTTTAATTTTAAATTGTATTCCGGCTGTGGTGGGTTGAGTGTGGTGGTAAATGGATGGGGTGATGTTAAAGGGTGGAGATAATTGTGGGGATAAGATGGTATAGGGTAAAAGATAGAGTGCAAGACAGACGCAGTGACAATTTTTTTATCTGTAACTTTGAACATCTGATATTCATTTGCTTCATAAAAATTGAAATCCACTCTGCAAATTAATTCTTTCGACATATTGTTTCTGTTTCTGGTATTTTTTGGAGGGGATGCGTACACATTTTAGTCACGATGAGAAGTTTTAGAGGGGAGGTAACTTAATTATATTTTTCATGTTTTTATGTATTACAGGGGTAGAACATTTAAAATAAAATATTAATATACAATAGTTTATATTTGTCTGTGAAAACCGATTGTTATTCGGTGTTTTAATACCCGTATTTAAAATGCAAGCTACAATATATTTCAACTATAGAAAAATATTTTTTTATACTTTATATAGCCTTTTAATCTTGATCAGATATGTTCTTTTGTGACCAGAAATGATAAATAGAGCTCTTCAAATATCAAAATTAGGTTATCATTTTACATGACTGAGCATTTTTAGTTATATTAACTTATATTCCTTTTTTTAGTTTAAATATCGTAACTATAACCTTTTAAATAAGATAGAATTGACTTAATACCTAGGATTTAAGTATTCAAAAGTCATATGATATCTATAAATAAAAAAAATGTATAAAATTGCACTAAGCCTTTTAAAAGAATTCTTATTTTTCATTTGAAATGAATAAATGGGGAATTGACATATATTAAGCCAATGATACAATTTAAATGCATTCATCATTTCAACACCGACTTGTCTAATAAACTAGTTAGTAAATTAGATTAACATCATTTTGCAATTTAATATTTTACACCTATTTCTATACCAAACCAGTTTCACTTTGCACTCTGACTTTGAACTAATAAAAACATACATATATATTTTTTATCCCAAATTAAATAAGGTTAAAACATTTAAAACAACCTAAACTATTCAACACGACCATGTTTTTATAAACATTAAAGTAGTTTTAACATCGTTTTGCAATTTAACCATGTCCGTATCTTAACACCAACACAATTTGCCACTTCAAAATTAACTGATTTAATAACTTGAAACTAACATATACATTTTTGTAATTTACTTCACTTTAAATATGTTAACTATGTTTTATTCACTAATAGCGCGACTATGGGATGGACCTAGCATTACGCTATGTTGCAAATTTTGAGGGTAATTATTGCATTTTCTGCCCACATATTTAACAAAATCAAAATGATTATTCATAATGATTTCTGAGCAAGTGTCAATCATGATAACATCATTTTCATACATTATATTAGATATTCAAACATCAGTTTTATGCATATTAGCTGTATCATTAGTTTGTACAAACATGGTCTGGTTTTATTTGTTAATGACAATTCTTTAAGTACTAAATAAATTTATGATTAGGATCATGCATCTTAAATTGAAATATTTAATCCACAGAAAATGGATTTCTTTCATTTAATTATTTCAATTATCATCGTTTTTGTTTATAATAAAATACATCTAGTTTATGTTCGTCTTTGTGCAAAGCTACTTTAAGCGTGCAATATTCTACGATTTCAATTAAACAAAATCAATCTTATAAACACAGCGACAAATTGCATCGGAGCCTTTCTTCTATCTCTTTTTCACTATCGGAGTACAAATCTAAAATATTGAGTCAAAGTACGAATGCACTCATATGAGTTAAACTGTTTATATATTTAACTTTTATATATTAATTTTGTGTTTCCATTTATACATACTTTTTAAAATACTGAAAACATTTAGATGGAAACTTTCTTTAAGTTCTTAAGGCTCCCTCCACAATCCGTACAATATGCCATTTGTAATTATCATTACATGATAAACATACTGGAGTGGTCCATAATGGAAGGTCTGTAATACCATAGATAATTATGTTTATAGCATTTAGTATCATACACACACAAAAAAATCTCGAAAGAAACATACATGTATGTGGATATTATTAGCAAATGTGAGATACATGATTCGATATTTCATATCTATAAATAGCAAATAGAACAAAGTACTACTATCATCACTATAAATGTTTATACTAAATCACTAAGAACCCCAATATCGTTATTTGGTTATGAAATATTTTATAAAAGTATCCAAGGATACATTTATATTGTTTTATCAATATTTGAAATATTTATGGAAAAGGTGCTCACTATAGTCCAATCCACTTTAACTAACAAATGCAATTATAAAAACAAACAGCTAAAACAGCTGACCTATTGACATGTATTCTCGCGACCCAAAGTAAGACAACATGGTCATTTCATTATAATGATCAGGTATGTGAGTTTAAAGTTAATACCAATATAAATTTGGGTCATCTGTAAACATTGTGGCACATTAAATATATTTATCTTTGTTCTTAAGTGTCATAAATTCCAAAATTTCTAATTATTTTCCTATTTTTATCCCCCGACATATAACCACGCTAATATAAATATGATCACAATTTTGTTATCTTGAAGATAATATAAGCGCGGTGTTGAATTTTATTCCTTACTTAATATCTTTAATACGTTTATCTATCTTTTATCTATGTCGTAAATTTTCCTTTTCTGCAATGATGATTTGCATATTTCATACATATATATAAGAATTAAGGTATTATGTAAGCTTTGAATCAGTTCAATAATCACAATGGTTAGGTTGTGATAAAAAACATTCCGTGTTAAATAAGATGTGGATTTTATCGACAAATAGATAACGATATAGAACATGAATAAAAAATAGATGCATAGTACTGTAACTAGTTAAATTTAAACATTCATACTGTAGTTAAGCTCCCATGGTTCCCAAAATCGTCTCGATCTTTTCATCACAGTGACAATTATTCTTGCAGTTGGATCCTCGAGACCGGCGACATCAGCTTGAACCTCGCTCCCAACTCCTCCAAACAGTCCACCGTTGTCATTAACAACACTAATAGCCTCAGTCTCAGATAAATGTTCTACATCATTCTTTATTTCTTTACCTTCAGTAGATGTACCTTTAGACTTATCCGTTATTGGTATTCCACTTATAATAAAATAATTCAAAATCGCGAAAAAGACCACAATATATAAAAACTTCCGTATTAAATCCATGATAATATTTCTTTAAATCTAAAACGTAACCTTTTCGCCAAAAATAAAATGAACACGTCTTAAGAGATCCCATAAACTAGCTAACAAGAAAAATCGAAATTATTAAAGTGTCCGTCAAATGTATAAACTGTAATGATGTTCTTATTATAGTTCAGTTCAGGTAGGTGAAAACATTTGAATGCAACGATAAACTATGTCAGATCTTTTCAATGTACCTCCCCAAAAAAGAAAAATATAAAGAAGAGTGTTAAACGAACGAGAAATTCAACTGTTTGAGCATTTATTATTATACCTTTATATATATACAAACATACCCCGTATGCAAATAAACCATGATGTCATTCATTATAGAAATTTAACAAATCTACCAATATCATAGAAAAGAATAAACTTTTAAGGAGTATCAAAAAGTCCTTGGTACTCTATTGAAAATACTTAGTACATTTAACAAAGGTCAAAATCAGTTGATAAAAATGTCATTTAACTTTTGCGTCATTTTATAAACACTAAGTTTAAGGATGTGATAATGTTACAAAGAGTTATTAACTTACAATTAAATTATAAATGAGAAATGTTTACTCTGTTGACAGTTAGGATTTATAGAATGTAAACAGATAAACATTGTGTTTATCTAAAATCAACTTTTTGCCTTTTTGCCTTGTCAAGCGGTAATGTTTCTTTTATAATGAACTATTTCCTACACTCCCGAAGGAAATATGATAATATTATTATTTCGTCTGGTACAGAATCTAAATAGATATACTCTAAATATTTATCCTGAATATGTTATATTTACATTATAGGGTAGAGAATTGCAAACTTTGTCCATTTCTTTATTTACATACGAAATGGTGTGCTAAATAATATGTGAAAAGACCGCTATTTTCAGAAGAATAATTCGAAATTGTGATGTAAACTTAATCGAAAACTGCTTTGTTAATTTTATATCAAGGAAAACAGAGATGCTATTTGAAAGTAAATGCAGTTAAAAACCATTCCATGGGGAAGGTCGTGGACAACACTCATCTGTGTCTGAAGAATACCCTGCGGAACATCTAGCGCCTTGGATCGATCGTCATTCTGGCTATATTCTTCCTGCCACAACGTTTAAGACGACAGATCAACATCTTTATCAAAGTTAAATAAAATGCAAAATAAAACGTTAAATAAAATGCAAAATTATAGTGCAAAATACATAGCAAATGTATATGAAATCATACAATATTTTTTGATGCATACATTGGTAATTATTTTGTTAGTTAAAAAATAAACAAACATAGAAGGTAATCAAGTCAAAGGTAAAATCTGACTGCATTACAAATAATCTGATAAAAGTTGTTGTTAAAAGAGGAAGAATTATTGGGTCACAAAATGTCAATACACATAATCATCTCGAGAGAGTGACGTTAAGGGAATGGACCTCCGACAACACCCAGTTGCCAAGGACCACCGGTAAGGTCAAACAGCAGTACACTGATAAACCTCTGTATTTTCATTTGATGAGGAAACATATACAACAATTCAAAAGATTTTTCTTATGACACTGATACAGACATGTATTCTTATTTTCATACGTCGATGGAGTTTAGATCTATTTAATTGAAAGAAATTCTACGACAAATAACTTGTGCAAACATTATCCCGGTCAAATATAACATTATTACAAACCCAGCTTAAACATACGGTTGACAAAAACACTTCAAGTTTTAGTTTGTTACAGTGAAAGAAAATATACAATTCATTAAAATTCCACACGATGAATAAGATACAGAATAAAAATATACAATTTACTTAAAGCTTTAACTAAGAATTTTCACCTTTAACTTAATGTCCGACTTCAAGGACCTGTCAAGATGAACTTGTAACAATGTATCTTAAAATTTGGATACTTGAATTTCTTTTTCCGATGGTCAGCGACTCATAGGTGAAAGTACAAGTGTACCTTCTAGATAGATGACAAATTCATCACACTCAATTAACTTGCTTTTAATGATTATTAGTATCATGTTTAGAATATATCTATTATGATGTAATTAAAATAACAAAAAAAAATTTAGGATCATATGCGTGCCAATCATCGTTACAAAAACTGACAAAATCCAGATTTGTGAAACTTGTGAAATAAAACGCACCCGGAGTTAACAACCAGTCGGACAATTATGTTTTCCTGCCAAAAAAACTGATAGTTTTGTGAAAGAAGATCAAATTTCTAATACTTACAAAACTTGATGATACTTAAACAGGAATGAATAATGACTTTGTTTACGGAGGAAACACTTTTTAGTCAGTTATATGTCTTAAATATGATCCATTTCTGAGTGCCATTGCGTAAATAAAATATAAAATGAAAAAAAAATGGAGAGGCTTATGCAACTTTTACGAAACATTAGAACGAGGGAGCGATTGTCCTTTTGTACTTTTGATGTATTGCACGTGTTACATTTATATTGTTAATGACTTGCGGACTCAGAATAACAACTGCACTTTTACTGTAAGCATTAATCAAAATTATGTTTGTTTACAGTTTAAGAGAACTTAAAAGAAATATAAAAGTACACTCTACGGTGCTAGAAATGTAAAGATGTTTGGATTTTAATAAAGTGAATCAATATTCACAACTTTTCAAGAAAAAATAAATGAGGAATAAGATGAATAATTCAATGTTTTTTTGACATGTTATTTGCAATATACTCGTCTGTAATTAATATAAACGGGGGAAAAGGTTGAATTGATCATAACGAATTCATTGGTGTGAATATAAATAGCAAGAGGTTTGAGCTAATATTCAATTCTTATGACGACTGACATCTATCATATGCATTAAATTAAAAGTGTATGCTGACAATAATATTTTTTTGGTGAAAAATGAAAATTAAAGCTTTTGCACTAAACGGTTGTTCAAATAGGACAGTTCTGTTTTTTATAAGTCAATTGTTATATTTTACTTAGTATGCATTTGCTGTTTCCTCATAAATATATGTCTTATTGTTCAATAGTTGTATCAATTAGTCTTTTAAATTTGCGGAAGTTATCACTGAATATAAACGTCTCAATTAGGCGCTGTTGCTTACAATATTAAGTGTTTGATATTATTTTTGTCCAATAGGATTGCCTCTATTTCAAATAAGTATAGTTTTAAATTTATTAGTACGCGTTTACAAAAATAAATTGGCCGCGCGGCGCATAGCCGCGCCTTACCAATTTAATTTTGTAAATACGTACTAATAAACTTTAATAAGTGAATTATCAGTCAACATGCATTTAACTAGGGTTTATTAATGAGCAAAACCACTTTATTCAAGTGATATAGTTTTATTTCATTAACCTGTCAACTGCATATTATATATATTATATATACATATATAGAAAAGAGAGAATATATACACAGATACCACCACATCGATATGCCAGTCCAAATACGGCACAGCGCCTAGCAGAACAGCCACTGCTCATCAACCATGCATTCATAACAGCTTTATATACAGTCACAAACTGCACTACACATTGAAACAAGCTCAACATTCGCATATATAGAGTTTGTTCTCTGTTATCATGTCTCACAAATCAACGCTGACATTGTATTGTCTTCTTCACTGATTGGGACCAGAGAACTATATATCTATTTCCGAAAGTCAACTGGATCCCGTAAGATCAAGTAGATCCGTAAGATACAATGAATTTAGACAGATGAAGTAAATATCAAGGGAGATAATTTTATTTTATATATATATATATAAATCTTTCATTTCGTTTATGTCCGTAAAGAGTAGTGATAAGATGTGTATCTTTAAAAAAATGTAACACATTACTGTAGAGAACGGTGGTATTCTAAGTCTTGAAAGGTCTAATCATAACAGGACCATGTTTATTTCTACTTTTTACTATCAACATAACTTAATCTTATCGACTTTTTTATGAAATAGAGAAACACGCTCCCTAAAGAACGCACAAAACGGCACAATTGAAAATGTTGCAGGCTCGGTTTGGTAATTGCAAGCTACTGTCCAAGCCCTAAGCACCGGCCCCATTCACGCCTCAAGCATCGGCTCAACATTTAATATGTTGTAATATTAATTCTGCGAAGATTGTGTTTCTCCAACACTTTTAAGCAGATCCCCAAATATGTTAGATAATATAGCTTGTATACAGATAAGTGTACGCCTTGACGCATTGAATAAACCCTTCCAAAACATATGAGCCGCGTCACGACAAAACCAACATAATGGGTTTGCGACCAGCATTGATCCAGACCAGCCTGCGCGTCCGCGCAGTCTGATCAGGATCCATGCTGTTCGCTATCAGTTTCTTTACTTGTTATAGGGTCTGTAAGCGAACAGCATGGATCCTGACCAGACTGCGCGGGTGCGCAGGCTGGTCTGGATCCATGCTGGTCGCAAACCCATTATGTTGGTTTTGTCATGACGCGGCTCATATATATTCCAATATCAGGCCCACAAATATGTAATTTGGTGCCACTGATAGAGCGGCGACGGTAATCTACGATATATTTCTTCACACCAGCGTTATTTTTTTTTGGGGGGGAGGGGGGGGGGGGGGGGAGCTGGGACATTTCCTGGCACACACGCTATTTCGCCCATCTAGTAAACGTTTAAACACATTTAATACAACTTTACTATTTCAATTACTATTCATTTAAAGCTGAATTTCATAAATTTCATTAAAAAAAACAAGAACAGAAATAGCTACATTTGTTTCACAAAATCGGTTTCATATCGACCCCGTTCTTATTTCTTTGTCCAGACGACCAAATGACCATTATAAGCTTATGTCAACATCCTCATTGTGGCGAAATCGAGAGTACATTTGTTACTTTTTGGTTATCCCAACATCATCAGAACCAAACATGGATTTAAGAAGTAATCCGAATTGAACGTATATTTCCGAATCAAATAACGGATTTTTTCATAATTTCATCAGTTGAAAACTCTTGTATAATCGACAGCGAGGCCAAAACGGTACATGTTGATAACATGGGAAAGTCCTACATTTGCCGTTTACGCCTCCATGTTAAAATTTGTTCTTTAGTGTTACCGTGGGTTTTTCCTTTCAAAATAATAATATCTGAACAGTCATTGATGAGTTTTACAACAATACTGTTACAAAGGTTAATAAGACGGTATACTGCTTTGTGTTTAGACCAACAGCAAGTTATTTTTACATATTTATAAAATGCAGCTTTAAATACATGTTCGTTGTTCTATTATATATTTAATTTATTTTGATACATACATACATAATCACGCAACCGTGAAAATACCAGCGTTGTAAA